ATCGTAGAAGAGAGAGACACGAAGAAGCTGTATGCAAGGAAGTACATCAACAAACAGCAATGCATAAGGATGCGGGCCGTACCAAACCTCTCTCGGGAGCGAGCAATTTTGGAGGAGATAACCCATCCTTTCATCGTCAACCTTCGCTTCGCCTTTCAAGACGACATGAACATGTTTTTCGCCATGCGGTTCAGAAAACGAGAACAAAAGGTTATCGGTGACCGCCTGTTGCATGACACAAAAGCGCTATATATTTATTTCCGTTTGCAGCCGAGCAGCCCGCATGCAATGTAAAACCCACTGCTGGTACGGGTGGGTAACGTTAATGCAGGTCACTGTTGCGATATGTACACATACGCCAGGCTACAAGTTGTAAAACTAAGTCTACTATACAAATACATATACATAATTTAACCCTAAAACACCTTGGACGTCCTAGATCACATGAAGATGTTTTGCGTGCGATCGAGTCGTATCTTGTCGGATTTTGAGCACTTAGGGTTCGCGTGAATATCGGCAGGAAAATGGGGCAAATCGAAGCGTTTGTTTGCGCTTTTGAGTTTCACAATTGACGTTTCCCACGGTTTCCAAGCTATTTAAACCCCCCGTGGTTGGCGGCAATGCGCCAAACGTCGTGTATACCGCCATGCAGATCTTTTTTCCAGAAGTCAGAAGCCACCTCATCGAAACAATAAAGCGAGATGGCCCACAGGTTTGCCAACCCAAGCGCGGTCTCCACTTGATCTCCATGATGGCCATTCCCAAAAGCGGCGTCGTGTTGGAAGAACTCCTGTTTTACTTCGATCTCTTTGAGGAGAAGGACCAAACCCCAGTGAGCGCCTGCAGGCATAGAAACTGAGCGCTAGATCTCTGTAGACTTTTTGGGCCATGAGGAAATCACTGTCCTCTCCCCCACACAAATCATCAGCCGCTGGCAGCGCACTGCTTCCAAAAGCTTGCAAGAGGGAGTTGCGGAGGTAGATGCCACCAGCAATTTTTGAGGGCAAAGCAACGCAGGCAGACGCATTCCCATCTTAACCGAATACTTGCACTCATAAAATTGTTGGACAATTAGATGACAGAGGATTGGGCAGAACCGATCTGTCTGCTGCAGAAGCTCACAGAAGGAGGCAGAGAGGGTGTTTTGCTTCAGCTCCATCCATGGAATCAATCTTTTTAGGAATATAGAGAAAAGTGCATAATGGAGTTCGGATGGAGTGGAGCTTTGGTATCAAAAATTCCGGGGATTCAAAAAGTTCACAAAAAGTTCAAAATGAGCAACTTTTCTTAAAAGTTGCACAGCTTTAAATAGCATCTTTTGTTGCCAATGTATCCAATGGTTGCATGCATTTCCAAGGTACCTTTATGCATACATGCATACAACCTTTATGCCGGCGAGGACAACGCTCCCTTCGGAGCGTGCTGAATGCAGGCTCAGCACCATTGCCGGCAACAGCATGCATACGTCACTCGAACCCCTACGCTATGACCCAACTGTTCGAGGTGGACCATGGTACTGGGATACGGCTAATGACGTGCACTATGCACTCACCGAAAGCGAAGCATACGATGGTAGTCTAAGAAACCATACGCTGGAATTTGTAAGACTCAAAGATTTCTTTTGGCCTGGAGATATTGTTTCGTGGTTTGCAACTCCACACGACGATTGTAAGCGGTACAAGGGAGAATGCAGGGAGACGACAGACAAGCCGGAGGTTGCTAAAGCCTCGTTGTCTATGTGGGCGCACACAAGTGAGATGAAAAGGAGACGGTCGGAGGACGATGATGACCTCGCTCTCGCCTATTTTCTTGAAGAGCTCTATGCCAACCCGCGAAATGAAAACAATGACGAATCAGAGAACGAACTCAATTGGGGGATAGTCCTTTCCTGCTTGAAGGACCGCAATTTTGAGGGAGCCTTTTCTGCTGCCCGCCAGATATCTCACGGATTCCTTCGAAATCGAATGAGCAGAGACTTCTACTGGCCTGTCGATTTCACCGAATATCCTGAGTCGGGTAGCAACTAGGTGACGGAATAGACCTGAGTAGTTGTTGGCCTTGGAAAGAATTTCGCGCGGTGAGCCTCCATCCATACAGAGCTGTGTTCGACTATGACGGACATCTCAACATTTTAACTCAACTCTTAGTGAAAGAAACGTGGGCAGGAAGTCCGAGAATTGGCCTACCACGCCAACATCAACACATATCACAGCTTGACGGCCACATTGGCCAACCGGAGCTCCCGGGCGGTCATATTGCTGTACAATGTTCAGATGGGCACGAGCTAGCAGGCTATACGGGGTTATGATTGGGGACGTAGAGGAGGATTTTTCATTGGGATGGGGTAGAAGTCGATGCTGTGACATGGTACCGGGCTCGCTCAGCCGATGGGGACAACATTCCGGATCAGAATAATCGCCGCAAAGTTGTCTCACTCGAGTAATTTCACGTTCTCTGACGAAAAGTATTGTTTGTTGTGTTGATACACTGTACACGGCCCTTGTACATTGATTAATGCCGGAATTGTACCCAACCGATGGAACAGAAGTGTTGGGTGGTTGATGCTGGATATCACTGCTGCATTCTCCCATGCGGTTTGCTTTATTATGTATGTGCCAGGAAAACGACGCGAGTGATCACCTCCCAGTTCCGCGAGGTCAGTTCATGCGTTTACAGAGACACATGAATATGACGAAAATGTAGGATATGTACTGGTGCCACTGAGCTTGCATCCACTGGGATTTGAACCCAGAGCAATTCCAGAGCAATTGAATAATAGTTAACTGACTGCGTACATCAAAATGGGAGGGTCTACTTGTAAATGGCTCTGGTCGGCCGTTTTGTCTCGTACTACTGCAGCGATATGAAAGGAATGTCAAAGAAAATGTAATATTCTACTGTAGTTCTGTAGGCTTGTTTCTTGCCAAAAAAGTCCATCTAAGAGGACGGTTCTATGGTTGTATGGCCTCCAAACCACGCGATGAAGATACCCAAGTCACTCATAATGGCGGGGCAATGACAATGGCCAAATGGACAATGCGGGATTTGTAACTTATCATGATCAACCAACATGTTGCATTTAGTACTCTGCATGCCCAATCAGTCACTTGTCATCATACGCAGAATTTGTGTTTATCCCGGTAGGTCAGAGGAGAATCGCACACTCCCCCTTTCCTTTCTGTCCAGCTACTATGCATTTTGCTAGCTAGCTTTGCCAATTTCGGCTCCCCATTCTTCCTACATTGAATACCCCACTAGTGAACCCATCAGCGCTGGCGTCCTGTACGCATTCGCCATGTCCGCATGTGCCATGGTCAGGAGCATTTCTGAACAATTAAACTGGCATCTTGGTGGACGTGTTGGTATGCAATGTCATACAGCAGTTCCCTCCCGGCATCAGGAGTTACCCTTTTTTCAGTACTAACTTTAGGTTTTCTCATCCATGTCATTCCTGGCATTAGTCGCTGCGCGTGGCGGTTGTTGGACGTTTGATGGCAATTTCATGTACTCAGAGTCTCCGACATGACACGCGCGGGTGTTGGTTGTACGATTGGATGGCCGTATTCTGCACATGCATTGTGTGGACTTTCCACACATTGCCGACTTCCCATATTTTTGCGATGCCGGATAAGCCTTGCACACACTGCTGGGACTCTCTACGGGTGATGTACAGTTCGTTATGGGATTTGGACCATCCTTTTGCATCAGATGCCAAGGATATCCACAGCCATTTGGAAGTCAAGCGTCGCGCGGCTAGCAACAACACCGCGGCAAAGGCTTGATCACATATCCTCTAAAAGGATAGGTACCCTCCTGCCCATATTCTTTGAATAAAACATCCGCATAATCCAAGTCTGCCGTCTTACTGTCAGACGAATGGCGTCCCACACTTTGAAAGAATTGCCAACTTATCCACCAAATCTTGGTATCCGTGTGGGTCCATCGCAGTGTTTTCCCACATAGGATGTCTGGGATTCCACCATCTTCTGACACAGAACTCTCGCGCACACACGTAGTCTGGCTGGTGTGGTACCAATCGGAGCGCTGTCGAAAAACTTCTATATCGCCGGAGACCGTCGTGTTTTGTATTCTCGGGATGAAAAGTCGTCTCCGCTATGGTTTTCTATGGAAAAAACAGCTCCGTTCTGTTGGAGAAAACGCAATTCTATACAGTTGTGCGTGCTATATGACGTTTTCGCTGGTTCTTGGCCGAAAAGAAGGCGCACAGTTTTACGTCTCTATACTCCAGGTAAACTTGTCACCGATTGTCCACCAAGTCGCAGTGCAGTCTTCCCCCTTTTCTTTGCGGAAACAGCATACAAAGAACAGATCACTTTGGACTGGAATCTCAAGGGTCAATGTATCTTGCAAAGAGACATACAGAGTTGTATTTTGAAACGATGTGCAGAAGGGCTCCCGACAGATATGCTAACTACATACGCAGAGATACCGACATATCCAAGCACATATACTAGCGATGTGTTCTTTTTCCATGCAAATACTACTGCGAGATAGTTTCTCCTCTCATGCAAATACTACCCTGAATCTGCGAGATATTCCTAACCCTAACCCTCTTCTCTCATGCAAATACTACACTGAAGCTGCGAGATATTTTTCTTCTTTCATGCAAAATACTAGACTGAATCTGCGAATTGTGTTCACTTGTCTTATTCGCCCCAACCAGCTTCATTTCCAGCGGTCGTCTGAATCGGCGCAGTCCCCTCAAACTCATCATGGATCGGATCTTGATCCTTCTTTCTGAGCCATTCGTTCAAGTATTGGACGACCCATTCCACTCTTTTTGTTCTTTGACAATTGACCATCATCTCCATTTCCTCTTCTTGTTGCCAGTGTATTATTAGGTTATGCATCCAGGCAGGTGCCTGGTCCTCCAATGTGATCACCGCTTGCTGCGCACTGACGGAGTCGACCGAGAGAACGACTGGTGCAATGTCGGCAGTCTCGGTTATCGGGTCGATGGAGATTTTTTGCAGATTGTAAACCCGGACTTCCGGTGGGACGCTTGTTTCCTGTGCAGGATCGACGTTGTCCTCCCGTTCGAATACTCTGAGCAGATTTTTGTTGGACTGGAATATGGTTCTGATGTGGACGGCTCGTCCCACTTCAGGAAACCCTTCAGGCAGTTGCAGAACACCGTCTAATACAAAGCGCGCTCGGGTATCGCTGGATCCAGCAAAATGTCCAGACTCTAAAACTTTGTCGTACGAGATCTGAAACGTTTGAATTTGGGTAAATGAACCTGAAGTACGGAAGCCACATATCATTGGCATTATACATACCACCCTCATTCGTATGTCATTCGTAGGTCGCTCGACTTTATAGACGGCAGATTTAAGCCGTCCTTGGGTCCAAGTAAAGATCCGGTCGTCCTGGCCAGCCTTCCAGCACACGTTGGCGAAGAACGGGTCCGTCCGAAAGAGCTTAACGTCAATCACCATTAGAAGGCCGAGTCGAACGCGAGACAGGGCTACCAAGGCCCTTTTGTGTTCTGCCATGAAGCCGAGGTCATTGCTCCAAGCTGTACGCACCCCACTTAAGACTATGAGGTCATATTCGACCCCCATATAACCGTCCAGTGTATTGACGTAAACGTCCGTGATTCCTTTCCTTAGCAGCTCGTTGACAATGATGCGTCGTTGTCCCAAGTATGGTACGAGCACGGCTACCCTTGACCGGATGTCGTCAGGTAACTTCGATATGATTTTACAAATAATCGCAGCTTCGGAGGTATTGTGGTACGACGTGCGATGGACGGGGTCCGGTTCTTCGGGCGACTCCCGAGTATGGAGGACTGCCAATCCTGTCGCCCAAGCATGACCTAAATGCCGATATCTTTTCTTCTGCCCATCCCCAAAAGGACGCAGCGTCGGCTCCTGCCATCTCTCTTTCAAGTCTGGAGATGCCTTCATTGCGTTTGGCGACCCGTAATGGAACATAGAGAGAAGCTCCAGGACATATTGCGGTAGGCGATGTTGTTCGGTGAGCTGAAAGCAAGGGTAGCAACCTGTTTCCAGGCCGCGTTTCGAGTAAGGACTGGTTCAGCGGCGCAGTATCAGCCTGCGGTCGTTGCAATCTCGGTGGGATTTGGTCCTTATCGCCAAAAATGCATACGCAGGGGGCTCTAGCACATGCGGCTACGGTTGCAGGCTCGGTCATGGCACTACCTTCATCAATCAATACTGCCTCGATCTCGATCTTTTTTAATAGGCCTTGCTTCGCCGCTTGTTGAATGTTGGCGGACGTTACAGTCGAGACAATGACATCCACCATGTCAAAGGCGTTCACCTTGAGACGTTCGACGAACTGGTCCAAGGCTGAATCTCTTTCCAACCCGCATTCTTTGGCTTCCAACCCGCTTTTTTTGGCAGGAATGAACACCGATCCTAAGCTTCGGGTCTGATTTAATGGCATCCAGGCGCCTGAGGATTAGTAGCGCAGAAGGATTTGTCGGCACTAAGACAAGGATCTTCTTGGTGTTATCCATCCTTCGGGACGCAAATAGGTGCACAGCAGCGGTCAATGTGTGCGTTTTGCCTGCACCGGGGGGTCCTTGGATAGCGTACAGCGGTGGTCGCTGCCTTAAAGCGTACGTGATTGCTAGCGATTGCAGGTGGCTTAAGTTCCACGTCCTCCTGATCGAACTGGCCTCATCATTCAATTCCGCCTCGCGTTCTGCAGTGTACCAAGCAGGAAGGCCGTTTTCCTGGATGTCCTGATCGACAGTGTCCGGCTGGGCAACGACAGCGTTGATAAACGAGGGATTCCACTTCTTGGGAACTGCCTGCTCTTCTGATGGCGTAAACGACTCCAGTGTTTTGAGTGTCCGCAGTTGCCTGCAATGTTTACTGTCTAGTTAGCTTCCATAAACAAAATACCAAGGACATATAAAATGCACACACTTACATCAGACTAGGTACGTCTACCTCTTCAGGAAGATGCGGTGTACTGATGTTTCCCCATGCTAGCTCACGTCGTACTTGCCGTCGCCAGAATTTTGCATATCCTCGAAGACTGGCAAAGCTACCAAAAGAGGTGTTTTTTACAAAATTACTAAATAGCGTATGGCATAATATGCGTTTTGACTTACCTTTCTGGGTACGCGACTTCACTGAAGTCGTCTTTAGGACTCGTCACCACAGCATACAAGTTCTGAAGCAGTTTGTTCCGACTTGCAATGGAGCCTGCGTCTGCTGCAAATCCAATCTGCAGGAACATGTTAATAACATATTCTTCCAGAGAGGACGCTTTTCTTTGTATGTCGTCCGGATGAATCCGTTGGATGAGTAAATCTGGGAGACGCCTCAGACCTTGCACGGCAACGTCGCGGTTAGGAAGGGGCAGTAGATCAACGATGGCCTGTCCGGAATGTCGCAAATCATGGCCGTGTGAAGTGCACTCGAATTGGAGATCTTTTTCCGTAGTCCGTAATTCGAGAATGTTGTTGTTTCGCAGTCGGTCCGATTGCAGACGAGTGGAACAAACTCGCTATCGTTCTGCTTCCAAGCTATCGATACATTGCCAGTAGCTTGAATGTGGCGTACAATGTGTGTGCGGCGAATGCCGCCTTTTCTTTTCGGTGGAATGTACCCGTTACAGAACAGGTGTTCGCAGACTAGACATTTTACCAAGTAGCGGGTTTCCGCACATATCGCGCAGGACGACGGGTACACTGGTGCAAGTGGTGGAGCGTCGTAAGGTGCGAGCCGTGGATGACGTTCGTATTTAACAACCGCCTCTGGTTGTTCCTGCTTCTCATCTTTTTCCTCTCCAGGAACCTGCACCACTTCTTCTTTTAAGTCGGCGGCATCCCACGTCCCACCTTCAGTCTCTTTGATATCCCAACCAGATGAAATGTTCTCTTTCTGGTTACCTCAACCAATGCCCTCTTGCTGGATGCCGTGTACATTTTGGTCCGTATCCGCCTTTTTGTGCTCCTCCCGAGTGTCATGCATATCCTTCGGACTCAGGCTTACGTCCTCTCGGTGAACAGAGGGACCGGTGCTGTGCTGACCTTTGGGGGGAAGCTCGTCCTGAATGGCGTGTGCATATTGGTCCGTATCCTTTTTGTGCTCCTCCTGCGTGGCGGGCAGATCCTTTACGCGTTCGTCCTCTTGATGAACAGAGGGTCCGGTGCTGAACGGAACTCTGGGGGGAAACTCTGGACGAAAACAGGGTGAAGAGAGACACCAGGGCTGAACGTGTCGATGTACGGGTCTGACTGGGGATACAGGCGACCTGATATCATCTGGGCATGGACTGGGGGATACAAGTGTAAACAAGGCCATTAGGAAATGCATTTTTTGACTGGTGACCGACAATGCCAAACTTACCGGCCCTAATTTCGGTGAGCATGTCCATGATCATGCTGAACCTTGAATTGAACCGTTCTTCCAACTCTGTTAATTCCGACTTCAGTGCTGACATCTCCTCGGCACTAGGATTTTGTGCCATCTTGACTTGTTCATGCTGCCGCAAGATGACTTTTCGAATGGAGAGCGGGAGATGGTTGGGGGGAGGGGAGACTAAATAGACTCTGAGTGTGGGAAATATTGTGACGTGTCGAATATCAGCCTCATCCGGAATCCCCCGCAATTTGCACATGAAATTCCCCTTCGTAGCCTTTTGACAGCTCTTCAAGTCGCGTTTTTCGACAGCCAATTCTTGCAAAAATAATAAATTACGATGTAGAATAAAAACATGAACCAAATGCGTAGATATTCAACTTACAAGACCTGCCTGTATTGTGATAGCGGACCATCAATCTGCTTCTTTTTGACCATTTTGTGATTGCAAAAGTGTTGCTGTGGGAGCTCAGTCGTTGACAAGATGGTTTTCAAAAATACGAGAAGAAGGAGGACCATCTGCAAGTGCTCGTCTCTTAAGCCCGCAATGCAACAGCCATTAGACTTTGGTGAGAAAGGATATCTCAGGGCACTCATTGGTTAAACATACAGCGTGCATGGCTGGTTCAACTATCCCTTCACAAGAAAGTTATTGATTAGCCTACTTTGTTGATATAGTTGCAGATACCCGCAGTGAATATGCAGATACATACTTATCCAGCTCTTCTTGCATACATCAGATACATCATTTAGCACGCTTCCAGCCGTTCCTCCTCATCATACTTGTTAGGTTCAGCCTGTGTCAATTTGGTCTTCTTGCCTACGTCTTCTGTCATAAATTTGCCGAGATATTTAGCATTACATGTTTTAATGCAGCAACTATATAAACAGGGAAAGTGACACCGCAGATGCCATGGCACTCACTCTGGACAATCCTTCAAAAAGGTTATAGCTGTGCAACAAGTCTATTCTCTTCGTGCTTCTGCGTTCGGTGCTGCAGGGGCCTGTGTGCCGACAACCATGGTAGATTGTTGTGTAGTGAATTGAGGGGAGGCCTCTGAGAGGCGGAATAGTCGAATAAACTAGAATAGGGTTAGGTTAATGCTGCAGCAGACTGGGAAACTATGCGCACGCAGCAGGACTTTGCGTGCTTCGGTCTGCATTCGAAGGGGATTTGACATGCTGAGATCCGACTGGCAAGCGCACCGGTTCGACCAGTTTGGGGCTTCAGATATCGAAATGGCGAGCAGACAATCGCTAATAAAGGTCGAATCTCTCTTCTGACAACCGGATGCTCACAAACTTTACTCTTTATTGAAGATCTCCCGACACATAGTTAGGACAATACTTCCCCTTCCCGGATTTTTCACAAAATGCTCCAAAGCGATAGAGCGGATACAAAATACATCCCCCGCGCACAAATCAAACGCTGTCCTACCGACTGCCCTTTAGAAAACGTACCGCAAACAGAGATACCGCGCCGTCCATCTCTCACAACCTTCAAACTCCGATGACGTTGGACCTTCACATTCAGATTTAACACCAACATTGGAAAATGTTAAAAGGATTGCAAGAGTTCCACCAGACTTGCGGCCACTTTCTTTCGTTATACTAAAAGGTCCCCATTTCGATGTCCATACGCCAAAGTGATAGATACCCGGAATGCGCAAAACTCTATCATTAAAAGGAGAAATACGGGGATTAGTGGCTTTGTTGATGATTTTGTTAACAGGCTACTTCTCCAAGAGCTTGTGAATTTCAGCCCAATTTTGGTGTTGTAAAGTCGAATCGAAGACTGCAGGGATGAAGCAGCAGAGTGCTTGTGATCTAGCAATAAAGAGGGCATCTGGAAACGGTGAAGAATCCATCCGCAGCATCGAACTCTGCTTCGTAATCCGGATTCAGACGATCTTCATGCTCCTTGACTCAATCGTCAAGCATCCTTGTATTGGGACCCGGATTGTAGTGACTTTCGTAAAGCATGCAAGGAGCGGTGTAGATGCATGCGAAAGAAAATGTGTGCAGGAGAAATAAAAAGGAAGGAACATGAAAACATGCCTGCTTCCAGATCTGGACCTCTTTCCGCTTCCGCTTCGATGGGCCAAATCCTTCAATTTACCATCACACTACGCGGTTTGAATTCTCTCTGCCGGATAGTGGTGTTATCTGCTTTTTTGGACTGGGCCGGAGATGGCGTGCGGAAAAGGGAGTTTTTGAGTGAGGTTTCCTTCCCAAAGAGCCCACTCAGGATCGATAAATAATATCCTACTGCGTGACAGCACAAGAGTGACGGGGAAGGACGTGCAAAAGCGTTACTGCAGAACAGCACAACCGCTGGCCACGAGGGAAACCGACTGATGAATCTGGTAATGAAATGCGAAAACTTTGGGGCAAATAAAGTGTAAGTTTGACAGCAGATATGAGAACACCTTGTGCCGATTTCCTGTGTGTGTAATGTATATTTGTGTATTTCGACATGAATGCACAATGTATCTACCAGGAGCAAGCAGATCCTGGCAGTCGGAGGTCTGAACAAAGTCGGAGATGCTGTCACGTGGATAGTCGACTGATGGGCGTGCATAGTTGTTAATGACGTCAAAAAAGGACGCGGCTTGCGTCAGCCGCAGGTCTTTGTATTTCCGCTCCAACATTAAAGACGACGACGGCTGGAAGAGATGGACGCACCCGTGTTTATACAGTATCTTTGGTACGACGCATACAATTATGTCTCAATCCCTCTCAACAGCCCTCAACCCAACCACCTCCACGACACTCACAACACCTCTGGCCAAACATGCCGCTCAAAACGAAGCCCAACGTCAAAATGTCCAAATAGTCGATGCGCACACGACACCGGACCAGATTGCCCAAGCGGCTGAGAATGTACCTGTGCCCATTATTTTAGCAGAGGAGGAACAGCCTGTTGAAGGTGTCTTTCAGAATGTCGTGAATTTTAGAGATGTTGGTCGAGGGTTTAATGAGGATTCTGGAAAAAGGTCTTTATTCGTCTTGTCACAGTTGGGAAGGGAGTCGGAACTAGAATCTCTTTTTTTTCCTTTTTAGTTACATGAAAACTGGCAACCTATTTCGATCCGGTCGGCTCGACGATGCCACAACCAAAGACTTGGAACTCCTCACTGCCAAATATGGGATCAAAACTGTCGTTGATTTGCGATCAGAGTATGTTGCGTGACGATTGTAACGTGATGCAGCATTCTTATCCTTGTCTTTTAGAACTGAAGGCAAAATGGGTGAAGATCTTGTCAATACTTTTCCAGCGTCTGCCATCAACGAGGTACGTGCTATGATCGTACAATTATGATCTGACAATGGTTTTTTACTGTTTTTTTTTGCCAGCAAACAAACATTGCCGAACTCATCAAAGTGGGGGACGGCGCGGTGGTAACTGCAAAAGCTGAGCCTATGCAGTTGCATTCCGATGGTGATACGGGTGGCGAGGATGTACAGCGGGTAACGTATTACATCAATTTTGCGGGAAGAAAGTTTAGGAGGCATTCCGTGTGGAAGCCTTTGCGGTTGAAAACCAAGCTGTGAGTATCGCCCTTGCGATCGCATTGTTTTGTATCATGCTCATGGCATTCTCATGACAAAATCAGCAAGGTCATTGCTCTCATGGCAATGAATCAAAAACCGCGCGTGATTGAACTCGTTGGGCAAAGCGTCATTGAACCTCGGGGCCTCCTCGGGCTAAACAAGGATTTCGTGGACTATTGTGGTGCTGAAATTGTCCAAGCCCTCCGGCTCCTTTCCAACCCAGCCCATTATCCTCTCCTCGTGCACTGCACACAAGGGAAAGACCGCACCGGCCTCGTCATTGCACTGGCCCTACGGTGTGCCAAGATCCCCGAAAGCTATATCATCAAAGACTATGCACGGACACAAGAAGGGCTAGCCCGGCAACGGGATGTCATGGTGGAAGAGATGCGGAAAACAGGGTTGGATCCATCTTTTTGTGATGCTCCCCCCAATGTCATTAAACAAACGTTGGAGTATATTAGACAAAAATATGGAAGTGAAGAGGCCTATTTGGAAAAGTGGGGTTTTGGATGGGCGGAACAAAAAAAGGTCATGGCGTGTTTGGTTCGGCAGGACGTGGATGATTTGGAAGGATTGGATGGGGAGACTGTAAACAAGTGCGATGATTAACTCAAAGCGTAACAGTTTGACGTTTTCTTACCTCAGTTCGACGATATCCTTGCAAGGATCTGTAAATAAAATCTCCTTGTCTGATCACGTCATCTGCTTACGAAAGCGGGGATGTCATGGGGCTCCCTGTTTCAAATGATTGGGTCAATCGCCAAGAATTAAAATAATCACCGAGTTGTACCGATATCCAAGGGTAAGATCTGAAACAGTGCGTTGTTGCCCAGGGTGCCGCAAGCCGCTCGTGCAACGTCACACATGCGGTCAGATTAACTAAGAATCCGTGATCCAAAGGGAACAAAACTACACATGCCGCGGAATGCCGTTTTTAAAACATTGAATCCACGGATACCAAAAGGTTCGTTGCTGACGTTTGAAACTCGCGACTTTCCTCCAAAGGAAGGCCTTTTGTAAAAGGGGAGGTTGAATGACCACTTGCTCCTGTGTTTTGGGAGAGGAGGCTTCTTTAGCGGCAAGATGTTGCTCAACCGTTAAGGGGGGTTTGCTCGCCACTAAAATTCCCTCCGCCGTCAGATGTGGCTGGCCACTGGCTGCCCGTCGCAAAACGACAAAGAAACCCGCCGACTCGCCGTGTGTGTGGAGGGAGATGGCCGACGACTTGTCCAAAGGAAAAAAAAAAAAAAAGATGAAACTGCACCCAAAAACGAACTGACGGCCGTTTCCTTTTCACCACGCGCACACAAAGCTTGAACGATCGCTCGCCTTTTTTTTTTTTGGAACAGATTAGAAGGGCGCTTTCTTTGTTGGAGAGGTGGAGGGGGGGCAAACATCCTCCTCCCCCAAACTCTTCTGTTTTTGTTGGAACTTTGAACGCCCACCGTTTTAAAACGTTTTCCTTTTCGTTTTCAACGTATCTTTTGCTATATATATTTCCGTCATCTTGTTTGGACGTCGCCCTCGTTTGTTTGGGCTTTGTTCATCATTTGTGTCTCCACGTCACCCAACATCCTTTGGCCCCTTGGAGAGATCATCCATATTTGTAACAATCCAGTCTTGATTTGACGGTGTTTGTGAAATCATGACGACTCGTCCATCTCAAGACGATTTTGGTGAGCGGCCGGCAAAGCGTAGGTTCTCCGTGGACATCCCAGATACCTTTTCGCACTTGATCGCGACTCCACAACAATCCACTCCCGCCCTCGACGCCTTTGACGAGGATCCTTTCAAAGATTTCACTGACGACAGCTACGGTATGATAACCGAAGGCGAAACATCCGACGATGGCCAGAAAGAGCAAAGTCTCAAGCGACCATCGATCGATGAAGGTATGCCAAAATCCGAGTCTTACAATGGTAACTTGGCCAATGGCACCGCACCACCAAAAAAGCGCTCACGAGCGACACCCGAACAACTCGCCATCCTCGAAGAAACCTTCCTCACCAACACATCACCAAACGCCAAACTCCGAGAGATTCTTGCGACTAAAGTAAACATGACGGAGCGATCCATTCAAATCTGGTTCCAGAATCGTCGCGCAAAGGTGAAGCTCATGCAGAAGCGGGCTGCGCAACAAGCTGCCCAGGAGCAGGCAATGCGCACCCAGACATACCTAGCAGCCGCTTATGGTATGCGACCTCCATTTTATCCTACCTTTCCCATGCCGTACGGCGCTTACGGACAGATGCCACCAAAGATGCCACCAATCGGGCGTTCAAACAGTGTCGACTTTGCAATAGGAATGGGAATGGGCGTGGGAATGAACATGGGAATGGGAATGGGGATGGGAGTCCCAAATGGTGTACCGCCACCAGCAATGATGACTATGAATGGAGGCAAGGCGATGAGCTTGCAACATGGTAGGCATTCTTTTTCTTCTCATTGGCTTTTTCAAATGCTTCATGATACTTACCGCAATCTGAATATAGGCTCGCCAGCTCCACCGCCCTCCAATAACATGGAACGAGTTACGATGCCATTCACAGCTGAATCGCTTGCTATCGGTACTTGGCGCCGAGTTCCCATCACAACAAACGATCTCATTTGCACGTTCAACACCGTGGAACGTGTCATGAGATGGCAGATTGTTGAAGGAACATCAAAGTTCAAGATGGAATTTCCCTTTGCATCCATTGCCGCAATCTCATTTGATCAACTCGACGCTTTCACTGGGCAAATGACCATTGACCTCAACCAATGTCCCATGTTCTTTATGGAAATGTCCATCAGTGGAGGCTCAGTCTGGACGCAGTGCCGCGACTTTACCGAAAACACACAGGCAACCTGTGTGCTGAGGCACGTCATCAAAGGACAATTGCAAGCACTCCGCGGCGAGTTACTCCTCATTTGCCAGTCGGATGTGCATGTGCACCGTGCGACGCAAATGAATGCCCCAGCGGGCACCGGATCCACGGGCAATGTGGGCAACGTGGGCAACATGGGCACTGGAATCATTCCTCTCTCGGCAGCTGCGGCATCCTCAGCGGCCGCCAGTATGCCTCAGTTTGCCAGACGGCACTCGACGCCAAATCTGATTGCCAACAACCAGCGCAAACGCCAAAACTCTTTTCACGAATCCCTTCGTCGTCGGCCGACTGTTGTGACATCCATGAACACACCCAGCGGTCTCACGCGAATGAACGGTTCACCCATCCTCGACTCGGCCTCCATTTCTGGTTCCCCTCGCATGAGCACCACCTCCGGAGACATGATCACTCCCCCCGTGACTCCACCCCCATCGATAGCGACACTTTCCCGCCGTCACTCTCTCCTTTCCTCGCCTGCCCACTCTGAAGATTCCTTAAACATCAACACCAACCCACAACAAGCTGTATTTCAAACACCATCGCCACCTGAACTCTTGTCTGACATGTCGTACATTTCGATCAGCGGGGGAGACCCAACGTCATCCCAACAGTCGTTTTCTTATAATGGACCGATTGTAGAGTCCTTCATGGATACCCTTACTGGCGAAATGAGTAGCGTCAATAATGGAGGTGCAGGTGGAAATATGGTCACGGTTTAAGGAAACACACCTTGCAAATGGCTTGTTTTTTGCATAGAGAGGAAATTTGTATATAGTAACATATTCTTTTACCCAGTCTGCCTGCTGTTCAAGTAGCTAGGCTTGGGTCGTTCCCTTTGTGCGTCATTCGGCTCATGATTGGGAATTGGTTTACATAGTGTATGTTTTTTTTGCTTTGTACTTTTTTTTACCATTTTCTTACAATGCTAGCAACAAACTACAGTCTGAATAAAGAAAAAGCTAATAGAAACCATTATCGTGCTCCCTTTGTTATTTCGAATCTAATCTTGTGCTATATATGTCCTCTACCCTACGTATCTATGGTCCTGAAACTAAAAAGTCCCACTGTCGCCCAATGAAAGGAAAACACCATGTGATTGACTCTTAACAAAGTACTTGATGTCAGCACCGACACACTCTTGAACCCGCTCACCACATAGTGGACTCAATGCAAGGTAATACGACAGAAAGTTTTTGGCCCGGTAAGCGTGCGCTGAAGCAGTTGGTGTTTCTTGGGTAAGAGATTGGATAATGGTATGAATAAGACCTATTATGCTAAAGATCATGCCCTTGTAGTGTGAGAAGATAGGATCGGTTGAACGCACCTTGGTTCCGTGTCAGCCGTATTCTCCACTTTACCAACAGGACGTCCATCGCTTTCTGGGCCTCTGGATACAGGAGCGTTGCCTGATGTACCTCCCACATGAAATCTACTGCAGACTGCTTCAAGTGGTAGAAGACAGTATTATCTGATGGGACCTGTCGTGCTACCTTGACGGCAGTCAGAATCTCTGTGTCGCGATATCAAGAGTGTCAACAGTCAAAACTAGTAGCTGCGGAACTCGCATGAGCTTACTTTTCAAAAGACGCTTAAAGTCATATGGTCTTTCGCAAGACAATACGTTAGTCTGCTGCAATTCCTATGCAAGTGTCCCACGAATGCATACCGATGTCTATGAAACATATTTTCCCGCTCGCATATGCTTTCGCCGTCGAATAGCATGCTGGTGAGTAATTGGATCAAGATATCAAGATATCTGTATTCGAGTAAAGCATGAGACGAATTCTCCAACCCGCAAATATGGACGAAAGACGCACCCCGCAGACTCAGAGGCCATCTTCCATGGAATCGGTGCAGGCCGTTCAGGCGGCGCTGGACGCATATACGGTGGTGAAATCTTTTGCAAAAGCTCCATTGCAAAAGGCCATTCTCGTTGAATTTTGGGAGCGGGTCGCGGAGACCATACCCGACGAGTTTCGCGATGATGTCGATGTAATGTCTCAACGCATTCATCGATATCAGTCAGGATTTGCGGATAAATCTCTTCACTCTGTCAGAACATGCAATTAAGTTTGCAAAGACCGATTTCTTGAACTCGTATCAAAAAGGCGGTGTTGAAACAACCTTCCAAAAAGCCCGTTTCACTTCCCAATTGAACATCCCAAGGTCTAAAATGTCGCTCGCAAGCTCGCCCCGACTGGCGTATCGGTTCTCAGAATGGGCAACCTCCAAAAATGACCGTTCTAGTGACACATATTGGCTGATATCGCTGCGTAGAGTAGCTTCCTTTAGTGTTTTTGAAATCTAACACGGTATGGGAAGCGGCACGGGAATGTGCCAAGCATACCTCCGATCGCAAATCAAGAATCCACCTAGAGCGGCACGCTATCACCAGCCGACATACGTTAGCGCTGTACATTCGCATCTGGAAAAGCAAACGCACAATGTGACTTACAATAGCTGAATCGCACATAGATCTCGTCAACACGTGGGCGAGGGACCACATCGGTTGAAAAGTCGTAAGGCGGAGGACCTCTTTGATGAACTGCAAGTGTAAGATAGAGAGTGGTAAACGGAGTCGTATTGGTATCTCACCAATTTGATTTCCGCATCCTACAATTTTCCATTGTTGCTTGGTCTCGACTGCACATCGGTGATGTATTGCCACTAGAGGGAACAGCTGTCCAAAAGTCGTTAACAAAGTTTTCCTATGCTCATACTCATCGGCGTACCCCTGAAATGATGGGATGAGCTGCCAAGCCCTACACATCGTTAGAGAGCATGCCAGGAAAGGTAGAGAATGATCACTCATGTCAGTCTTGATCTCCAAAAGTTCCATACCATACCTCCTCAATCGAAACAACATCTACAAGAGAGATGACAGAATCCCATGGCAGTAAACCCAACTCCACCGGTGCATGGGACACAGGTTTTGAAAGATAAACCTTGGACGAGGTCACCACCACCCTACGAGAATCTGTCATTCGCTTAGATTGTTTGGAACGTAGATACGCGCCATTTATGTTGTGTTTTGACGTACCACTGTCGCCTCGATGCCCGAGCAAACTACAGTCTCCCACATATCGGATTTTTTCGCCGTCAACTTGCGCACCACGACTTTTGCGACCAAGGACTTGATCGGGATCACTGACGTCGACAATCATAGGTGTTGGTGCTTTTGGGTTGTGCAAGGGCAGGATACACTGGCGTACGCTGCTGGCACGCGATGGTAAGTCTGCATTTGTTTATGTTCGCGATCTGTTATCCCTGATATTGTTCATTGGCACGTGTCTGGGCTGATCTGAGAGCTTACGTTCCCTGCAATCTCCTAGCAGACCTGGCCCTGTCCCAGTGCAATCTGTCATATGGATGCAAACATGAGATTGCTTTCGGTAAGACAGGTGGATCTGCTGATGGCCAGTGCAACGAATGTTAAGCGGACTTTCTGAAAATCCGCCGGAAACACTTTTTTGGTTGGCTATTGGTAAACATCTTGCTGTGCATATTCTTTGCTCTTTTCAAGCTCCTTTCAATTTACTGTTGAGTCTCAATTGCTGCAGAAAACGTCATTTGCAGTGCCAATCCAGCATGGCTTGCGATATGCCAAAACATTCCCTCTTTATCGCTTATTTCATGCGGGGCTTTGTGGGCTTAGCAGCGCGTCTCTCCGCGTGGAGTAATTACCTGCGCCTCAGGCGGCGGATGAATTTCCAAGTTTCGAAATCCTTTTTAAATAAACTGGAAAAGCAGTTTGCACATTGCTCGCAGTTTTCCATCTCGACATGCTTTCTTGAAGCATTCTGTTCTCCTCACCGTTTTTCTATTCCCGGCTTAGATCTTGCTCTTACCCATCATGCCAAGCTCGCGATTCATCGTACCCGAAGGAAATCAAACAATGCCGCCTCCTCCTGGCCCGTCAACCACATCACAAAAGCTATCCCATGCTCTTCCTTTGCCTTTTCATCTGATGGCGGCGGGTATGTCGACAGTCGGCAGCGTCGTGACTGCTGTAGCAGCACATGTGCTCGACGGACCAGTGAAAGAGTCGTGGAATTTAGCGACTTCGGTTGTGGTTGCTGGGATGAGGGTGAGTGCACCAAATTATTTTGGCATGACTTTCTGGGGTTTGTTCCATTGGACTCTAAATTTGAGATTCCTGTCTGTAAAGTCTGTTATGGTATCCCATCCACCTCAAGGGCGACATTCCATGTCTATCATTCGTGGTGTGACATCTCGCCTGACAATTCCTTTCGCAGTCGTTGGCGCCCGTGGAGAGTACGTGGACGTATCGGTCAAAAATCCGCACCATCTCACCGAAGCTGTGCGCAAAGTCGCAGGTATGGCGCCAGTGAAGTATGATCGGGACGTGCCAAGTGTGCGGAACATCCCAGCCGAGTGGGTAGTTCACAAGTCCATCGACGCATCCCAGATCGGCAACTCGCCCATTGTTCTCTATCTCCATGGAGGAGCGCACATCTTTCTCTCTCCCCGTACGCATAGGATCATCACCTCTGAAATCTCCCGTGTATGCCGTGCCCGTGTCCTGGCTCTAGATTATCGGCTCATACCAGAACATCCTTTCCCTTCAGCCGTAGAGGATGCCCTCGCAGCGTACTGTGCTCTCATTAACCAGCAAAGCCACGGCTTCTCCTCCACTCTCTCCGTCCCGACAACCACCACGCCAAACCGGATAATTATCATGGGCGACTCATCTGGCGGATGTCTTACACTCCAGTTGATGCAGACGCTCAAAACTCTTGACATCCCACTACCGGCCGGTGCCGTCCTCTTGTCACCTCTTGTCGACCATTCCGTAACCTCGCCCAGCTGGGCACAAAATTTTCATTCAGACTTTATGGCATTGGACCCGGCTGGCTTGAGTTGGGCGCTGGATTGCTATGCTGGAGAGGTGGGCCGCACACATCCGCTAGTATCACCATTATTTGGTGATTTGACTGGCTTGCCACCACTCTTGATTGTGAGTAGTCGCTGCACTGGAAGTGTGTATATTATAAAGGTCTAATGGCGTCAAAATGTTAATAGCAAGCGGGCGAAGCAGAGGTACTGGCTGATGACGCCAAAAAACTGCACTCCAAAGCTCTCAGCTGCGGTTTGTGGTGCGAACTGCAAATCTATAAAGACATGTTTCATGTATTTCACAGTACGTATGCATGATTAGCTGCAGCGTCTCTGTGTCTGTGTCTAACCCAGCCGACGGTATCAGCATTCCCTACCCAGCCCGAGACGACCGCAACTGCGTTCAACGAAATTGGGACTTTTGTATCTCGGACACTTTCTCCACAGAACTGCCACATTGTATTCCCCCGCTCTCTTCGAATAACTTGCATGTCAGGCAAGGTGACTGAGGAACGACTACCCACCGGAGAGATCTGCATAGCAAGCCATCGCAAATTGGGCGGCTCCCCAGACTTGGAACGCAGAGACTCTGGAATTATAACTATGTGATTTACCGAATTACAGATAGGAATTATGTAGATATATAGGTTACCAATAGTATTAATATTGGTATCAACGAGAGTTTTCGTAACTTTGGGCAAAGGAGATGATACTTCACCAACGATACCACATGCTAAAACTGTATCACGCTAATTGCGAAAAGACTCTTGCATGCATGGATTGCTGCATATATCCTATGCGACGCTCGTAGCCAGCTACCTATTTCTTCCCTCCCAAACTCTTGGTCGACGATTACCTCGATTGTACGGGGAAAAATATGGAGCCCCCCGTCCCTGCAGCTCTATTAGTACACACACAGATATGTCATTTCGTATCCCTCTCACTCACCCTTCTTGACCTCTGATCTTCAGGCCTACGTCCATCAGCCCGGTCACGCAAAGATTCCCCACCTCTAGCATGATGAGGCCGTGGGCTGCTGATATCCCAAGTGTGCTCTGACAGTCGCCTGTCAAGATGTTGATCGTTGCGGGTGCGCTCGTTTCGATTTAAGGGATATGACCCACTATGCTCGTCACGGGTGTGTTTTGGAAGCGGTGGTGAAGGATGAGGAAGGATTGCCGAGTCTTCATCTCGTCGCGGTTCTTCCACATAGTCGTCACACCGAGAAAGATCATGTGGGATTGCATCCCTTGTACGTGGCGAAGTATGGGGAAACGCTGGCAGGCTCGGAGACCCTCGTGGCTCTTCCTCAGTCACATCTCGTCCGGAGGGCTCCTCGTCGGTTATACGAACCGTAGGCGTTTCATTCCGTTCACTTTGCGAAGCCTTCACCTTGAGAACCACAACGAGCGTCAACCAATGCATGAGTAAGCATATGACGGCACCGACCTACCTCCTCCCGCTGCCTCTCCGGTATAAGCGTCCCGTTTTCAAGAGTCTTATCTTTAATTTCCACTAAGCACTCCAACGGGTTCCTCGATCCTCCGCGGACAAAAACTTGGTCCAGCCAGTTCCTCATGTCCCTTCCATCGATCTCCACCAATGTATGGCCACGACTATCACTCTTATTTGCTCGAGAAACACGCAGTGGAGGAACCAACGACTGCTCACACCAGGCGGCAACGTCCTTAGCAACATCCCTTTGCGTAACGCGCTGTGGACCCTTGCTCGTATACGCTGCGCATTTGATTTTGAAGGATTTCGACCACAATTCCCTCCCTTGCATGGAACTGGCAAACGTCCCCTCCACCATGGCGGCCAAGTACTCGAGATGACGAAGAATGCTAAGTTTTGACTCGAGCAGGCTCCAGCAGTCCTCCGCGTGGATATACCCATTCTTCAGTTCCCTCTCACTGACGTGATGCGCGCTACCACGCTCTGCTCCCCAACAGAATATGCGGACCGCCAAGGCTGCAGCTGCGGGATCTTCCACATCTTCCAATTCTTGAATCATCTTATGGACAAACTCGCGACCAACTGTCATATTCTCAGCACGCAATTGTAAAATCATCTGCTCAGACACTTGGAAATCGTTTGCAGTGAAGGCATTATGCAGAAAGGCTTTGAGTACTGGTTCTGATAGACACGATAGTGCGCTTCCTTCCAACCGAACTTTCTCATAATACCGTACCGCCTCGTCATGTCTATTGACCATGGTCAGGATCTGAAAGATGTCTCCTGACACTTCGCTCGGCCATTCCATTCCCATGCTCTCCCATTGGCTGACGAATTCTTCTGCAGTTTTCCATTGTTTTCTTGCGCAAAGGGACTTTAGGACAGCAGCCACGATCCGGATGCTTACCGGGTACCCGCTCAGCAGTGCATCCATAACAATGTCGAACCCCTCTTCTAACAGCGTAGTATCCCTCGCCAAAGCCGAGAGAAGCTTGTCAGTATGCGTCCAGCGAGGTACGCTGTTGCTTTTCATGTAGCGGTAGAACCAGAACGCTTCCGAGGTGTGCGCCAAATCGAGGCAGACTTCCATTATCTCCTCAATGACTCCACTGTGTCCATCAGGAGTAATCAGAGCCTTCGAGGGTTGGATAAGCTTTTTCACGGGGACCACAAATCGTTCCAGTAGACGGTTTTCGGCACATGACCGCAGGAGCGACCTGAGCATCTTGTCAGAACGGATTGTTACATTAAGAGCGGCCAAATCCTCCAGAGCAGTAAGGGCTTCTGCAGTCTTGCCGCGAGTATCAAATGCTTCAATGATGGCTTCCAATGTACCAGCATCTCTGATCCTTAGCCCCACATGCTCTTTGGCAGCATCATAGACCTGAAACACAAAAGCATTTCTGAGCTGGAGCGCAAACACCGCGCATATCATTATATATGACGCACCTTGACAGCCAATTCGGTGAGCCGGTTACGCTTGCAGCACTCCAAGCACAAAGAGAACAACATCTGCCCTTCAACCGGTATGTGGCGGGCGAACATGTACTCGAAAATGTAAAATGCGTATTCGTGCTCATTGACTTCCACATAGTAGCTGATGATCTCGTTCAAAGTTCGTCGATCGAATTCTACATCCTGTCCTGCCAGCATCTTAAACGTGTCAAAGCTTTCGGTGGTTAATCGCGAAGCCATCATCTCCCGCAGGATTTGGTCCCCAAGACCGGCGTCAATTCTTCCACTACTTGCTAGTAGCTCTTCACCGAGTACACGCGTCACGTCCGGGTTACTTGAGGCAGGCAGAACTCTCCACAGTAGAGAGTAGTGCCCGGATTGCAATTCCAAGCCCCTGCTTCTGGCTTGAGTAATTACCGCCCTAAGTTTTGTCGCGTCGCCAAACAGAGCGTATCCTTCCGCCACGAGCAGGTAATCATCCACGACGACTTTGGTGTGGTAAATCTCCTCCAAAATTTTGAAGCCTTGCCGCAAGGCTTCAATATCACGTCTGCTGACCGCGACTCTTAAGATAGCCCGCATAACCTCCATGCTTGGAATGAAATTGCTGTCTACCATATCCTCTACCGTAATTAAGACCTCGCTCAGTGGACGCATCCCTATGAGCAAACGATTTATCTGCTTTTCGAGCCCCGCGCTTCTGTCATCGGTCGCTAACGTCAAATAGGACGGTGTAGACACATCGTTTCTCGGCCGCTTTACCGACAGTTCTTCATCAGCAGCTTGATGGCTAAGTTCCCGCTTACGCCCAGTTGCGATGCCTAGAGAATTGCAGTCGGACGCGCCGATACTATTGCCTGGTCTACCGGGTAAAGGCGTTCGTCTGGTCTCATTTTTGTGATGGTGCCAACTACTGCGGTCGTCAGCTTTGGGAGATCCGCTGTGCCTGGCAAGGATGGTTGGCATTGCTTCGAAACGCTGCCGATCAACGGCCCGTTCGGATATCATTGGCGTACGAGAGCTCTCGTCAGGCCGTGCTTCATTCAAAGGAATGGTAGAACCCACTCTTACAGGACTTGGGTTGCGGTAAGCCGGTCTATAGCTGTCATAACACTGCCTCTGCTCCCGATAGACACCAGAGGACCTTGGGGGTGATATTGACTGTCGATGATCGACATTTCCTGACATACCATCTTCATTCCTCCCTCTCCGAAAGCTATCAAGTGAGGGGCGTTCAAAAGCGCGGTTGGATGAAACCGAGGCAATATGAGCAATATGCTCCTTTTTAGGGGTCCATTCACTGGATTTGCGCGCTTTGACGTTTCGGTCGGGTAAGGTCCTCATCGGGTGTTGAATGCCAGAATCTCGGACTTCGATTGATAACTCATGGCTGTTGGTAGGTGATGCATCAAGGGCTACTGCTATATCGAAGGGCTCTGTGCGCCCAACGAGCTCCGACATCGGTACCACTCCTGGGACACTGGCGGGCTTGCTGGGCATACTCGGGTAAGGTGGATTGCTATATGGCTCAGAAGACCCCATATCTTTTGCTGACGATGCAGTAGGTGTCCTGCGATTCGCATGATGGGATTGCGTTGACTCCAATGCTTCCATGCCAGAACCAGTGGGCACTTGCGAAGGAGGCTCAACGTCGCTGGTTGTATCTCCTTCATATGACGCCGCAACGAGACCACCTAAATGTGAATTCGCAAGATCAAAATGCTTTTGATGCTGATCTACATTTCGTTGATCTGCTATTAGATTTTTCGACTCATGAGCAGACACTTCGACACGCATCCTTTGATCTGCACGATGATGTTCTTCGTCCTCATTGGTGATTGAGTCCCCTGCCTTCTCTATATTGTCACGTAGCCCCGGCTTGGCTTCTGAACGAAGATAAGGAACATGGATTGATTAAGTGAATTAGCGCGCAGAGGAGCAGATCAGGTATGGTCGAATTACTCGACAGAGACGGAGCAAACTCTCACGCGAGAATCTGCACTTTGCTGAGCAAGAGTGCATGCCCATAGATGAAGTACCTTCTGCATGTGATTCTGATATAGATTGACCTTCTTGTTGATGCCGCACTGTCGCTGCTCGCGCAGGGAATGCACGTGGTGTCCACTTACGGCCTTCCGCAGCGTTATCCAATGTAATATGATCTTCTGATATCATATTTGCAGTGTCTTTAGAGGCTCCCTCATTCGGATTCGTGCCGGTACCATTATGACTCTCCCTCACCGATGACGGTGAAAACATCATACCATGTCGTTTGCTGTTCTGCTCCGCGGTAGCAGTAATAGCAATCTCAGAGGGGTCTGCATCACTACCGCGGGTATCTGGGGAAAACCAGGGCGATACGCCCTTCACCATAAGTAGCAGTAAATATTTATCTATCACCAAACGCCGACATACATTGCGCGGTCCCCTCAGTTTTTACGACATCCTTCTGAAAAGTCTGAGACAGTCTGTTAGTCTGTTAATATGAAAAAGATGCAGATTTGAAAAAATCGAAGAAAATCGCTTGCGAACGGTCTCACCTCGTTGCGGCGGGGCTTCTCGCTGTAAGCATCTAAACCTGATCCCGCTGCCGACTTGCTACGTGAAGCAAGTCTCGTCGAACGACGAGGTGGATGGTCCCCTTCACTCTCAGTTTCTGATGCTTCAGAAAGACTGGGAAGAACGCCAGCGGCAGCCACTGTGTCGTGTGACACTATTTGCGGCCGTGAGTCGGGTTCAGATACGACAGTGTCCTTCTGCGGCTGTTCAGTAATGGTACCCGTAGTTTCAACGGCTTCTTCTGCTGTGTCTACTCCGCTACTGAGCTGTCGCTTTCGACGTTTAATCTCCTCTAGTGACAAAGGGGACGTGAAGGTGTGCTGCGATCCGCTACGCTGGCTGCTCCCTCGGCGGTTCCTGACAGTATCATCATGAACACCCTGCTGCTCACTTCTTTCCGTCATGGAATCTGCACCAGAATTATCCACGTATGGGGTACGTTCTCTACCTCCTCTGCGGCGTCCTCTGATTCCACCGTGTAAGGCAGGTTCACTAGAAATTTCTCTGGTGTAGACTGGATGTAATTCCTGTTCCTCTTGTGCAATATCAAAGTCTTCGGGTTGGGAAAGATAATCCTATCGCATATGAATGAGACAACCAGCCTATGACTTGCACACTTCAGGACATCTTTCATACCCTGGCTACATTCCGCTGAATCGGAGTATGAGACTCAAACTGTCCTAGATCTTGTTGGTCAAAGTCATCCTCTCCCAAGTTCCCAGACTCTTCATATTCCATCTCTTGTGTGCCACCGTATGATTCAGATTCACTTGCGTCCAACTTTAATCCACCGCGCGGACGACGTCGTCCTGACCGACGCCTATTTCTTGCTTCTGAACTGCCGTGTCTAGCTGCGCGACCACGCCCTCCTCCATTGTCAAATCTGCCGAACCCGCGCCTACTCATCGCACCAAGTAGTGCTGGTGTGAGCAATTGCATGTCCCGTTTGTCACGTAGGCAAACCATCGGCGGCGCGGCGCTTAGGCACGTGAGGACAACCACCAGCAGTTTGCAAGGCTCACCAATGGAATGATTTTGGCCAACGGGAACATTATGCCATTAACGAGAGAGGTCCTGAAATTGTATCGTGAGCTTCTGCGGGTATGTTAGTGTACAGTTGGTTTTTGGCACCAAGTTTTATTTGCGCGCTGACTTTGCGGCGTGCAGACGGCACGTAAGCTGCCTACCCAAGAGCGCCGTGATATCGTTTGCAACCGCATCCGCCACGAGTTCCGTCAGGCACGAAACGCTAAACCTATTAGCGACTCCCATCATTCCATTACGGAGGAGGGCTCAGATCGTTGGTATCTGAACTATGGACTGGTTCAGTTGGAAAATCTCCGTGTACAAGTGGATCATTTGAACACTCTAGCTCAACAGGAGAACCAGCTCATAATTCCGATAGATATATATCAAGCAGATCAGCAGCGATGGGGTAGATGGGCCGGAAGAGGCAAAGCCTGGGGGAAGTGGAAGCGAAGCGCACCACCTATGGAGGGCCAGAATAAATCAGAGCGATTACCGATGGGTAAAGATTAATCTATTTCCTTTGGTGACCCTGCACTCCGCCATCGAACAAATCTATCTGCGGTTACCCGTCGCAATTCATCGAGGTGCAAAAGGAGCAGTGCTTCTTTGAATTGCCCAAACTCGTTGAGCAGATTTCTTTCTTCCCCTTCTCCAACCGCCTTCGATTGCGCTTTGCGCACTGCTGCTCGCTTGTATGCACGTGCAGAAATGGCAAATGGAGGCACACCCACTGTTTTTGCGTCAACCAGAATCATCAACTCCTCCTTGCTCAATCCAAATCCAAACGTTTCTATGCCTGCCTTGGCCAACACCTCTATTATTTCCTTCTTTGCGGCAAAAGCTTCGTCGAACGTCATAGTGTCTGATCGCACAAGTACAGGTACCACACTCGATACTTTCGCCAATCTTCTCATGTATTCGACATCCACACCAGTAATTCGATGGAGCATGCAATAAACCGACACATCAACATGGGTATGCGCACCCGTCGAGGCCGCAAGAAATCGCACGAGTTGAGTTGGCGTGGCCTCTCGTGTAAAGGCTTGATTTGTCTTTTGAAATTGGGCCAGATGGTACGCGACAACTGGACGAATGATTGATAGGGCATCCACTGTACAGCCATACCCAGGACTGTCGATGATCCTGAGATTGTATTTCTCTTCTGCAACAAGTAACGAATTTGTAGGGACCGTGGATGCCCGATACTCTCGCAGGACTAAGGGGCTCGGGTCGGATGAAAATGGTTCGTTGTTTGGTGGTATCGGGTCAGCTGCGGTAATTTCAGGAATGCTCAAGAGTTCATGAATAAGAGTCGTCTATAAAATAAACCGACGGTGTCAATAGAGTCTCAAAACCTTTCCCTCACTGATTTGTTCTGAATCGTAAAACCCCACCTTTCCAATGCCAGAGTCACCCACAATCGATAATTTCACATTTCCAATATCGGCTGCTCCTCGCGCCCTACTCCTTCGACCTGTCTCTAGATCATTCATCTTTTTCTTTACTTCCTGCAAGCCTGGTGGTTTTGCAGCCAGAGCTCGCTTTGTGCCAAGGTGGGACGACCTGCGTTCTCCAACGACAAGCGAGGCTACTCTGGAGGGAGCTGATGTCTTTGCCGCTCCCTTTCCCTCCACGGGAGCTACAGCGTGAACATTTTGAAGAAAGTTGCGCGGGGCAAGGCCCACCGCACCAGTTTGTTCATTCTTGGCCAAAATCCAACCTGAAGGTGAGCGGAGTAGTTCCAAGGTGAGAAGACGCAAGGAACTTGGCGAAATCGAGTTCTTATGATATCCGTACTAACCGTCGTCATAGGCGTGAAGGAGTATTACTCTATCTCCGGCTGTCAATTGCAACTCATCGCCGTGGACAGGTACATAGCCCGCATAGGCAACAAACCGCTCTTCGTTTGTAAGCACAATTTTGGTGAGGTTAAAAAGTATTCCTTTTCATACATAATATGCATATCTCTTGTTCTTGCACCTTCTATCTTTTCAGCCATTTAATTGGCTCCACAGGTTGAGTGATGGCTGATTTGCACCGTCCTAAAACAAACGACAATGGCGGACTATTCCATCAATTACACCGTCAAAAGCCACGAAGCGCAGGAGGACATTGGAGCCGGTTACACGCGTCAAAGGGTCGCTTCGTTCGCGTTCTCCATCTGCCATCTGTCTTTTATGTTTCTGGCTTCATCTGGCCGTTGACAAACAGCGCATGGTAAGCGAAAAGGTCAGTTCAAAGAACTTTTTGGAAAGTAGGAGTATCTGCAAACTGCAAATGCTGATATGATGTGATCTAGCAGGTGATTGTCAAATCTCAAGAAACATGTCAAGTGTCTCCATTGGTACGCTTCAATGCCTTCTCCCCTCGCTCTCTGCCAGCCATCTGTTTAACTTGAGCAAACTGCAGGAGGATTGGGACATTGGCCTGTGTGGGCTGTAGTATTATCCCTTCTCATCTTACTATTATGTTGTGGAACGTTCGCATTCCTGCTGTACCGCAGCCGCGCCGGTACTTCGAAACCGTCGGGTTGCTTGTCCTTCTGGGAACGCGAAGCCCGTCTGGATATCGAAGCAGCTGATTCGAAGCATGAAATTTTGCATGTCCATAATGTGGGCGCAACACCGGGACCTGAGAAGCTTCTGTTTTCAAAACCCTCGCTGAGAGCCATGGCGCTTTTAAAGAAAAGTTCAAGGGAGGAGATCGGGAAGCACCCGAACGGTTGGGACAAGAGCGATGAGCAACCGGGAACAGATGACGCGGCAAGGTCGTCGGACACATTCTTCTCGCTTGCATGTCCCGGATCGCATCAATCCTGGTCGTTACCTGTGTCGTGTGATTCAAATCCTTTCTTACAGTATGCACAAGCTCTCGGATCAGGTATAGCCGACGTGAAGCGGCTGTCCTTGGTTCCTATGTCATCCGTGATACATGTTGAAGAGTCTCCCCTCGTGCAGGAAGCTGAAGCGCAGCTCATTGATCAAAATCGCGGAGGGGACGATGGCACCCGTAGTAACAACGTCAGTCGGCAGGGGTCCAACTTAAAAAGGCAGAAACGGTCTTTAAAGAAGTCTGCAACTGAGCGACGGGGTAAATTGGTTGAGGATAACAATGGCCAAGTTCCAACGCTGAAGCGATCTGGGACACTTTCACGATCCGCGACACATCGGAGAGCACCTCAGGATAACATTGCACTTCGGAATGGTCCATCCTCCGACGAACCAGCGCAGGTCAGATCCAATGACTCTTCAAATCAACAGGAAATACGGGAACTAGATGCAGACAGAGAATTGTCGGATGGGCATGGAAAAGCGAAACGCAGAGCTTCTGCACCCACCCGAAACTCGCGTAGCGGGCGGAAGAAACTTGTCAAATCAACTGTGACAGACAAAGTCAGACGCTCCTGTACAGTTTCCGGTAACGTTCGACCGACCGGTAATGCTGAGCGTCAACAATTTTCCGTCGCCAGCGGAACCGAATCATCAGGGGACGATACTCCACTAGATGACAAGTCTCGAAGAGGGTTCATTATTGACGGATGCGCAAAGCGCGCGCCAGCCCGTCTTCAAAAGGCGGAGCGACCCTCTGATTTTGAGGGAAATGAGCAGGGCATACATGATGGTAAATTATCAAATTTCTCACAGTGCAGTTTAACTGTTGATACCCGAAACCTACACGAGTCCGACTTGGGTGACCGTCCCTCAGCGTCACATATTAGCACCCATGGACGCAGTGAACATGCTTGCTCGGCAGGGCTGCACCGGACGCAAAGTACTCTATACCTGGGAGAGCGAGCAAAAATCGAGAGACAGAATGCAGTGAGATTTTTAGCACGAAGCTCCAGTTATCGCGTTATGAAGATGCAAGAACGCCATGAAAGCTCATCACAAGCTGAAAACGAAAGTTGGACCGCGATCCTGGAAGAATATACTCAGGCGTGGGCTAGCTCATCGACTGCGGTGGAGCAGACGACCGACAGGTTTGGAGAGCGGTGACCAAGAACATGCGGTCCCGCGTCGCCATTGTAGTCGGTGAGATGAAGCTATCGTCATTGCGGGAAGCGCTCTCGAAATTATCTTATTAGATATCTATAAATCTTAATACTTCTTAGTCATGGAAGATGTACTTAGTGTTGGCTTATAATAATAAATAGTAAGAACTAGAACAACAGCGGTTTAAAAATACGATGTTATTTGCCATTTGCGATAAAGGCTAATTACAAAAGCTTCCAAAATATGTATCCTATAAACTCACTCCCAAAGATATCGAGAATGCTACATCCTTCAGCCCTTTCATGGGATATCACTTGGTATATCCTAGTGTCCCCCAGCTTATCTCGGATGAGGCGTAAGCGAGTGAGGAAGGCTGTCGATACTGAAATCATCTGCAAAAGGATCTACAATCGGCGCCTGAGTTTGGGCCGGAGGATGTGAAGGTGTGTAAGAAAATGCGGAGGTGTGAGAGGCAGGCTGCCCTTGATCCTGGGGCGTGTAGGAGAACGCAGGTTTGGGAGTGGGAAAGGCTAGATGGCGTGCTTCAGAAGATGAAAATGGCTGGAGTTTCCAAACGTCACTTTCAAAAGGTGAGGCACCCCCCGCCTGGAGTCCAGCCAGATCATCAAAGGGGGACGTGTGCTGCCTATGTTGCGGTGCGCTACCGCTTCCACCAACGCGATCAAAACCTTCGTCCAATTCACCATCTTTCTCCAACAAAAGCACCACAGCTTCCTCGACATTCCAATTTGTTTTATGTAGCGCATGTCGAGCCTTTCCCTCCTGCTTGAATCCCATCTGGTGGAGCTGAAATATGGCGTGCTGTTTGGCAGGCGGCAAAGGCGTATATTTATACGTGGGATTCGAACTTGTGGGTGTCGAAGACTTTGCTTTTGAGGGCGTTGAGGATAAGGGGTCAAATGAAGACAAGTCAAAGGCATTTGAAGAGTGTGCGGTGCTTGTCTCAGGAGCGTCGACGTCTCCAGAGACAATAAAGTCGATCGCAGTGTATATCTTCCCCTCAGCTTTTGTTAAAGCCCGTCTATTGATGTCTGGGTCAGGAAACCCCATGGTTTGGAGGATACGAATCTGTCCAGCAAATATGTCGTCGTCCGGAATAGTCGTTGCACTCGCCATGTCTTTTTACTCGTTGATGTGATCTGGGAAGGAAAAGTCCAAAAACCTGACACTAACAGTTAATAACGTCATCCCCTTTGCTGCGCCCTTGAGGCGGTTTCATGACTCACTCAAGCGGGATGTTCAACTTTGCAAATGAGACAAATGTCGTATTGATTGGCGTTGGATTTTCTTGCTTTTTGGATATTGACGACTGTTTGGCGGAGAGATTGGGCTGTTTTTACCTGGTATAGTGTTGTGCATGATCTCGGGCGGCGATCTGTAGTGTTTCCATTGACTCAGTCCCCAACAGTAAAACCTCATGCTCGCAGAGCAAAATAATAACAGGCTCACAATGGCTGGTGACGGACTGAACCTCGACCAGCTGCAGCAAGCAGAAACTGTGCTTGGTAATAGAATAAAAGACTATGAAAAGAAAATGCGGGTAGAATTGCAACTCAAGCAGAGTGCTGCCGCAATGGCAAAAGTGCACACTGACAGAAAGTCAAGAAATACTGCGGAGCAGCAAGTTCAGCGTATGTGTCCTAGTGCTTATGGAGATAGGAAGAATTTTTGGTGATGACACTTGCCTTCGTTTGAACAGTTGCGAACCAAAATCTGGAGACCTTGAGTGTTGAGGTTCTGCATGCCATATCAGAATATCGTGGGATTGCAGAACGGCTACGTGCGACGGAGAAATGGCAGCTTCAGGCGCAAAGTGCAGCAATGAGAGGAGAATTGACACCTCCAATGCCAGTAAGTCTCCAACCAGACGTTTTGGTTGCGGGCACACAGCTCTCATATATCTGTTGACAGCCTCCGCGCTCAGAGACTGCTGCATACCGGATGAGCGATTCCCAGAGAAATACAACAGAACTATATCGCCCAGCAAAGCGAACCTCTGTAGCTGTGATGGTTCCCCCACGACATGATTCCACCTTTGACGTTGCAAATCCACCCCCTGTGCCATCAAAGCCAGGTCTCTCCCGCAGCTCCACTGGAATTAACTTTGCTAGCTACGGGTATAGTCCTGCTGGAGCCCCTTCGACGATGCCGCTGGGCTTTCAAGGTCCGACCGAACGAGAACTCATGGAAAGGGTTCGAGCGCAAGCAGACGAGCTTTCCCGGAAGGATATTGAGCTGGGACACCTGACGAGCTTATTGCGCGAGGCAGAAGAGCATTTGAGACGTTTCCAGCAAAATCCACCTCCGCTACCCCCTCGTAACGAATCAGAACTTCAGCAGCAGATTGCGTCATTAGTGGAGCAAAAAAAGAATTTGGAAATGCAGCTGTGGAACGCTGAAAAGACCATTTCGGACCTGCAGTACAAAAAAGACGCTGATATGAAGGCACCTCAGTGGAATGCAATAACTGCCGAACGCGATCGTCTTGCAGCCAGGGTTGCGGAATTGGAACTGGAGAATAGTAATCTCTGCAGATCCCGTGGGGGTACAGAACCTCACAACGAATCTGGAGAAGATGCGAATGAAACAATAGCGCGCTTGAAGCACGAGCTCGTTAATATGGAAGAGAAGGCAAAAGTGGCGGAAACTGAATGTGAGAAGGCTCAGCGTGCAAGTAGAGACTACTTGAATACAGTGACGCTCCTTGAAAATCAGCTATCTCAAGAAGGATCTGGCCACCAAACCTTTGATGCGGCTAAAATGGCTGGCGACTACAAAGCACAGATCCAAGAATTGGAGCAACAAGTAGGTCATGGTTGCTACGGGGAATATTTGAATCCGTCCTAATATTTTTCCCTTTGCCAAGCTTGAGGGTTTGCAGCAACGCAATGCCAATTTGGATGCGCAGACACGGCACTTGGCAAAGCTGTTGGAAGTCCGCAATACAAATCTTGGATCAGCTGGATCAGATGAAGGATTGCTAATCGAGAGCCTGCAAGCCAAGTTAACCGCTGTTGAGAACACCCTCCTCACAACAAAAGAGAATGCAGAGCGTAAACGAAACGCATTGAAAGCAGCGCTGGCTGTCTCTCAAAAGGAAGTGGCCGCTTTGGCGGATGAACGGCTGCAGCTGCAAAACACCTTGGCTGCGTCGGAGCGAACATGGGCTGAGCGCTTGAAAGCCCAGGAGGCCGAGCTCGAAACGCTTCGCAGTCAGGTCATCTCTGGTTCCCATACCACCACACATGAACATGATATTGAGCGATCCAGTCAAGATACAGACACTCAGCTCGAAGATATGCGCTCCAAGCTCCTGGAGAATGAGAATGAGTTAGAACGGATGCGGACCCACTCGGCTCAAATGGAAAAATCATGGACAGATGCCTCACGCCAACAGATGGAAGAGTATCAATCAATGATAGTAAACTTGCAGAAGAAGCTTGCGGTGTTGGGCTCTGAACTCGAAACGGTTCAGTCGGAAAACGACAAGTTAAATGCTTCTCTCACTCAAGCAAATGCTTATGCTCAGAGCGCTTCTGACCTGGAAAATATGCAGACACGACATAAAGAGGAAATGCAGCATATCGTTTCAACCGCAGCATCCAGACAGGCGGCCTTGGAGCAAGAGCTTAGTCAATTACGAGAAGAGGTGGAAAAGTTAGTTCATGAGAAAAAGAACTTGGAGCTGCGGTGCGCGGGACATGAAAAGGAAAAGGTCGTTATTGAAGAAAACGCGATAAGACAGTGCTCTGCGACGCACGAAATGGAAAGGAAAGAGCTTGAAGATGCGCTTGTTGACGAGCGTCAGAAGACGAGGGCGCTGGAGATGGATCTTTCGAACATACGACAGCAATTGGAAGGTGCGGTGAGCAAGGTGTCACAGCTTGACAAGCACTTGAATGCGGTCAAAGGAGAGAAGGAAGCTTTAGAATCCGAGTTTGCCAGCTTGCGGAAGGCAAAGGATGAGCTGCAGACGTCTCATGCCAAGGAGTTTGACTCGGTTCGTCAGCTTCTGGAGGGGGTACGCCAAGAACTTGTTCGATATCAGAACGAAAACAAGGAGTGTCACGCGCAAATTGACGAGCTCCAGCTGAAGTTGTCTGAGTCAAACAGTAGTTGTGAACACCTGGCCGAAACCACAGAAACATTGCGTAAAGAGCATCAGGAGCTGCAAAAGCAGTATAAAGTTGTGCAAGGGGCCTTGGCAGATCAGCAGGAACTCCAGAAACGACTTTTCGAAGCAGAGGCGGTACACAGTAAAGGCTCTTCTGAGCTATCAGTATTAACCACCCAGCTGGCAGCATTAGAACAAGAACGACACGCATTAACAGAAAGCCTATCTGCATCGCAAAAGGAGAAGATGGAGCAGATTAATCTTGTTACGTCTCTGAAACAGAAGGTGGACCAGCTGGGAGTGCGCTTAGTGCAGGCCGAAACGGAGAGGGATAATGTTGTCCGCGACATGGCGCAACTGCGAAGTGAGATCGACCTTCTCCGAGCGGATAAGGAAGCTCTGGAGACAAAATTGTCAGCATTCCAACGAGATAAGCAAGCAGCTGACACCCTACTTTCTACGTTGAGTGGAGAGAATAAACAACTGGCCGCTCGTGGAAAAGACCTTCAGTCCGAAGTGAAGCGGCTAACCACCCAGCTTGCAGACGTTCGAATCCATGAACCTCCGACCCCGCCCCAGCCATCAGAGCTCACTCCGCCATCATCACCAAAAAGAGAAGACGAAGGTCTGCAGGATCTTATTGCCAAAAACATGCAACTGGCCATTGATCTTGCCGACAAAGAGCGGGAGCTGGAGGAGCTTCAGCGCAAGTTGCGAAGAGAAGTTGAGGAGAAGAATATGCTGGCGAAAAAATTTGAAGAGGAGGCGAAGAAGGGTACAAGTTGGTGGGGATAGTCAAATTACTGTAATGGTTGGCATTTTGGTTGTATTGTACTGAAGCACGCGAAAATGGATTATATCTCATACGGCCATGGCCTTTGTCTCACCCTACCGTTCACCATTACGCAGCAGCCAAGCGCATCCTACGCAGCCTCAAAGGCACCAAAGCATTGATTTGCATTACCCACCGTAGACTGATACGTTTTTTTGGCTTTTCGAATGCAGAGTACACTTGCAGATGTTGACGCACGCCATTCTGGACGTGGGGAGCCGGTGGACTTTGGTACTGCACCTGTGACTAAACCATAGCGACAACTGCTTCGGACGGGCAACTCAGCTACTACTATATGGCGAAAGTAGGTGTAGCCGACGCTCGATGAAATACAGGTCCAAGCACACAGCAACACCCAAACATAGCACACACAGGTATCGCGCATACTACACCCAGAGAGACAGAGAGACCTATCTCATATGGTTGCCAAGCTAGATCTTGGCACACGCCGAGGGCATGCTTTTGCGTGACTAGAACCAGGATATCAATGGCGCAGAATATGGAACTTTGACGCTGGTCTGTGGCCCCAATATCCACTGGATGACTCAAGGAACGCACAATGCATGATGGCACCGGCAAACATGGAATTCCTACAATGGTTGGACAATGCACTTTACTGCAGAAGAATCCGGGGAGGCCAATGCCCGTGTGAGTCGGATCTTCATTTCCAGCTCATTCCCCTGGGTATTTGCTTGAGACAAGAATTGTCCGTCGCGATCGGACATATTACTTTAGAGCCAATCAGAGTGCATGCACGTGGCAAGCACCGTTCGGACATCCTGCAGCTATAAAAAGGGCGCGTTGGACAACCAGCTCCTTTCCACACAACTTTCTCACGCCTGCCAACAAAAGGAATCCTGCGCATTTCTTCCAATCTGGCGGACAGCAACCACCCCGACCCGTATAATATTTGGAGGAAATCTTGGGAAACGATGTAAACACTTTCCGCTCATTGAAGGCCTCAGAAGCGCGTTTACAGAGCTCTGATATGGGATGTCACTGTATTCACTGGTGTTTTCGCGTATCAGTGGTGTGCGCGCAAAGGTAGTCAGTGCCCCTTTGTCCCAAACTGCGCCTGGAGGGGCTGATATTCACCGTCTGCCTGCAAGGGCTTATATCACCGCATTCAGCTCGTATCTTGGTGATGCCGGGCCGCTGGACTAAGGAGTACCTTGGGATGAAGTCTGTGGGCCTTTGTAGCATCACCCTAGGGTGGTTAGACTTAGTCGCACACTCTAGTGTAGTCTCACCTGTTAGCGCAATATCTTTAATGATCAAAACATTGCGTGGAGAGCAGGCATCGGCTGCGCAATATCTTTGAAGATGAAAACATTGCGCGGAGAACAGGCAGCCGATGCGGGTAACCGTTTCTCGGGACTAGGGTACTACCCCGGCGACGACCTTTGCTCTAATACTACCATACCGCTTACCTAAGGGCTATGGTCTCACCACTGATACGCTGCTGGACCCTGTGCTTATTTCAGAGATTCCTTTTCAGAGCACTAGAGACGACCCAACTCGTACCCGTAATTATCCAAGGCGAATATGCAAGTCAACGGTAACTTGGAGTGGGCCTCAGAGATGAATGTGTAGCTTTCTGTAGGATATTTCTTCTTCTCCTCCACCAATGCTACTGAAAATACATGCTGCCCAGCCAATATTTGTGACTCATCGGAAACCTTTGCAATAGCCTCACATCCTGCCATTTCTACTGCAACCATCATGGAATTGCGTAATTTGGTCGGAATAGCTAGTTGCGCATTGGCGTGCGGATGCATGGAGGGACGTTGCGGACATGGCATGTCCTCCTCAAACGCATTAATTTAGTACCGTCTATTGTTATTGTTGGTGGATTAAGCGTCTAAGGGATAGATGCATGTCAAAAGGAGGAAAGAAAAATATCATATCATATAAGGAATGCAAAATGTAGCAAAGGCATTTAGTTTGCTTTGCATTACTACGCATATTAGGTGTTGAGACAAAAAGGAGCAAATCAGAGTAATGAATTGACATATGCACAATGCACGGCATACGCAGCTGCCCATTTGTTTATACGACTCTGCGATTCTGCAATTAAAAAGTACTACAAGGTTCTTTGCTTTTCCAGTACGATGGTCCATCCCAGTCTAGTGATACTTCAACGTAAAACAGACATATTTCCCATGTACCATAGTTTGCAAAAAGCCACGAACCCTTTCGAGTTGATTCTCAACACATGCAGTAAATTTCAATGTGTGCCATTGTGCCTATTGTTTAAAGGAAAAACTAGTAGGAGAGCACAAACGGCTATAGTATGGCATTTGGCCGTTTGCCTACAATACTCTGATTGCACCCACCAAAAGTCATGTTCTGACAGGTGGAATTTGGAGCTGGCAAAAAGGATGGGCTTTGCACGCACCCGATTCAGGTCATTACTATAATTCACACATGGGCAAGCCTCGAGTGTATGTACCGTTAATGTAGATGACGACCCCAGCAGTCCCATGCCGTCATAAACCCCCGTCATGGGGCCTGTCAAAAGCTTATCATTCCCGCTGACCACAATCGAGCTTCTTATAAAAGGCGCTCCCCCGCTGCTCCACCTCTCACCATCAAAATTAGTGGCCCGTACACAGCCTGTTTGCAGGTGGTAGTACTGGTTCAAGGGCTGACGCCCACTCACCAGAGGCCGGACGTCCGACGTCCGGCCTCTGTCGCATCGCTCACGTCCAAAATTAGTGACCGTACACAGCCTGCAAGAGCAGGTGGTAGTACTGGTTCATGGAGGTAGCTTTGCAACTGCCCAGGTTTGTTCCCTTGCCGTCTTCTTGTTCACCGTACAGAGCCTACACACTCAGGTGAAAGTACTGGTGCAAGAAGCTTTACGCTCGGGAACTGCCCGGTTTTTCTCCCTTGCTATCTTTCTTCTATTTGTTGAAACCCTTGTCCGAAGATGCCGCCCGAACCGGTTGTTCTCAAGAAGCCTGCCCTCGACCCTCCGGACGCCGTAGATGCCCCTCCTCCAACTTTTAACCCATTCCAATGGAGTAAAGTGGACCTTCTTCGCTGGGGATCTATCCTGGGCAACATAGTTTTTGGATGGAACGTTGGGACTGTTCGTTCCGTACCCCCGCGTGCCATGAATCTTTTATATCGGACCCAAACGGTTGGGCGGAATCAAAGAGGCTCTCGTCCTGAGAATGCTTGGACTGCTGATGCACCTGGAGCTCCACCGGCGCCGGATCCTTTTGTTGCTTATGTCGATTCCTTGCTTCAGAGTGTCATAGGAAACAATGCAGCACATCGAGCGAGATATACTCAGAAAAACCAATTTCGTAAATTAAACATAGAATGATATCCATAAGTAATAATATCTAATAGTCCACAATTAAATCCGTCGCTCTAAGCAAAATAGAAAATAACATCTACAGGTCCTTTTTCACTTTGGCTGCCTCCGATGCATCAACCATTTTTACATACTCTTGGAAGGCAGTTTCGAATTCCTTTGTAATGGAAAGCGCAGCACCTGGTCCAAAGAGACCAGGCTCTTCTTCATCCAAGTCCATGTTGACACTCAATGTCACATGGCCCTGGTAGGTATATACAGCGCAGGAGACGCTGTTTGGCATAGCTTGAGGGATGAACGCAACCATGGCATCAATGTTGTGGGTGCCCCACTTGAGAGGCACGGCCGGTCCAGGCACATTGGTTAGTACACCGTGGAGTTTGTACGCTGCACCAAGAGCACTAGAAAAGGAAAAACGTAAGAAATACGCGCTTCAATTCAGCAGGGAAATTCGGCTCGCAACTTACAAGGAAGGCAGGGCATTGGGGTACCGGTAGAAAATCTCTTGTGGGAAGTAGTGGAAAGCAGCTTCCGGACTCGATTTCCCACTCCTCATGTTCTTGCTGACAGACTTGACTCTCTTGACCAGATCCACGCTGGGGCCATTAGGAATAGAGAGCATGTACCCGCTAGTTTTATTAGAGGTCGAAAAATCGGTCACGGCACGCATTGAGGTCGGAATCATAAGCCAGAGATTGGGATCGCGGGGAGCATTGTTACGTATGAGGTGGCCATCCAAGGCTGCTCCGACGCAGGCGGTCAAGACATCGTTTACGGTGACGTTGAAGTGATTCTTGACTTTCTTTACATCTTCTAGGCTTACAGAGTGGGTCCATGCTGTCTGCTTCTTATTTGTTCTTTTCGATCTTGTGTAGGATTTGCGGCGGCTGGCAAGGAAGATGAGGATATTGGCAAGGTAGAGTGCAATGCCGTAGAGCAAGAACATGAAGGTGAACACTTGTCGTTGGACGTATTTGAAGGCGGCCTGCTGAGAGGGAATACGGGAAAGGATGGTCGCGGGCTTCTTTTCACTTTCGACGACTTTGCTGACTGTCTTGGGCTTTGCAATGTTCCGACCAGCAGAGTATTGAAGCTTTGAAGCATCAACAGTAGGATCAAGTGATGCAACATAGGTGAGGAATGTACGGACGAAACCCTGTCCGTCGGCAATGGCATGCTGAAAGGCATCACACGAAATGTTGAGGATATGTTCAAATGTTGAAACGTTATAGTGATAATACTTACGTGTGCGATCCACAGAATAGCACTTCGTTCTCCGCCATCCAAGCCCTCAAACCAATAGCACCGCCATAATGGAAGGCCAAAGTCCATATGTTCACCGCATAGCTCGCCAGATACTTGCATTAGCTGCTCTTCGGTCCCTGGGGACGGCTGAAGTAAGCGGTGCAACATGTGAGCGTCACGTGAGAGCGACCAGTTGCACTAAAAACGGCATTCAATTACCAGCTGCACCGACAGAAAATGCTTGTCCAAATCGTACTCGTCGTGCTTTACCCAGTAAGGCCTGGCGAATACGCCGGGAGGACGGACAATTCTTTGCTTGCATCGCTCGAATGTGTCGGCAAAATGACCGATTTGAGACCGCATTTCTTCCCTCGATATTTTCTTGTTGAAATAGTAGAGGCCAGCCACGTTCATCTGTCCAGCCGACAACGGTTAGACATGTTGCCGGCCCGAAGCGTGTTAGGCGATAAAGAACGTACATTATGGTATTTATCTTCCATGATCAAGAACAAGTTGTCCCTTCCCGTAAGGTATTCTATCCTGTCCGAGACCGCGACTTCCGTGTCCTGTTGTTGTTGCGTGAGGGATGCATTGTCGGCGTCGTTGGCCGATGCCTCGGGAGCGACCTTGACGGGCATGGCTGCAAAGTTCAACGTTCTGGGGAGTAAAGAAAAAAACACGGAAATCTCCAAAGGTTCCTCGTTATAAAAAGGACACAAAATGCGGAGTGTGAAATCGGGAGATTATTTCTTCCTTTGGGCAATAACTGCGATTTGTGATATTGGCAACTGGTCGGATGAATCATTTCATCCTTTATGGCTGTGCCTACTTGAACATGGCTGTGCCATGGGTATCTGATGGCTATGCCACACGTTATGTCCGTAATCGCACGAGGAAAATATTTTTTACAGTTTCTTCTGTTGGATTACTTCATGCTTACGCCATTTCTTGGCGCAGTAGCTACCCTGAATGCAACCACATTGGAACCATTCTCGTCGCGCCTCCAAGGCCTCCACCCGTTTGCGTTCCCGGAGCTCTTTTTTTGTTTGAGTTCTTGGCGATTATAGTAAATTTGTGTGAAGAGGAATTAGGATATTTGCTTTCGGGGACCTCTAGGCGCAAAGGATATCTTGTACGCTTCTTACGTTTGAGCACTTGCGTGCAGAGCACTGGACTATGGAGGACACTGGCAAGTCTACATGGAAGCGCCTGTTGTCGCTGCGGAGATCGAAATCAACGTCTCACGCAAGCAGACGCGGTGCCCGTGGCAGGTCGCCTGTCAATGAAAACGCGTTTGATCAGAATACTGGACCGCGCAGCGCCTCTCCGTCGCGAAGCGAGTTCACGACCGCACCTCTGCCAGCGTCACCGCTTGCCTCTCTAACGTCGAGTCAATTGACGGTTTTAGCGGCGTCTGTCTTACATCAGCTAGAGAGCGACCCACGGCACCCGACCGAATCCCCAGCCCCTGCGTTGGTGGCCGCGCGTGCCTTGGCTTCCCCCCACCGGCACTCGGTGGCTTTGGCGTCGAAAGCAAATGTAAAGCTTGCGCAGCTGCCGGAGAATCAACTACATAGACTTGCACTGGATGTAGAAGACGAGTGTGAACGAAGATTTCCAGATTTGGCAGTGTCTGCTGTCTCGGTGGTCGCGCAGAAAGACGTGGAGACGGTGCAACGCGGAAGCAGAACATTCCTGTCATTGTCCAGGAGAGCACATTCAGAGTTTCGGAATGACACAGCAGTATGGCTCGCCGAAGGTGACTATGATGAAGACGAGGTGGAAATAGTGCCAAATACAACGAATGGCGAAATGATGGCCAGCGAACCCAACTTTGAGCAACCTGACTTGGAGCCTGCGCCAACCATTAGAATTCCCCCTCGCCGCTTTGTTCTGCGCTCAACCAACAGGATTGATACCAAGGAGGGCGCGGGTGCACAGTCAGACGAAATGTCAGATGTGGAGACTAGTTTTGTCCGAGAATATGGCTCACGCGTCATCTCTGAGAGTCAACAATTCTTTGACAAATTGGATACTAGCGAATGTTTAGATAATATTCCTCGGAAGCCAGTAAGCACCAATTCACAAACCACCCTCATCGAGGAAGGCGTAGAGAATCTCCCAGCGCTGCCAAACTCACAACTACCGAGAATCGATACAAAGATGAATGCAAAGACGGCGTCCATGCGAACAAGTCCGAGTAGCCCAAATGCACCAAATTCTCCCAGCCTCAAACCCTTTACCGCCGCGCTCTCTATCCTTACAACACCACAACTTCTTGCAGCCGTTCGCGACGTGAGAGGTATCATGGCACGAAGGCACAACCCATACGGAGCAGCCAAAACGCATCGACGCAATAACTCGAATGTTACGGTAAAAAGTTCAAAGAGTGTTGGAGAGTCTGAGCCTGCACTTTCGGAAACATCAGATGATGACGACGAAAACCTTACGTACTGCGAGCAGCTCCTCCTCCGCCTACCGATGAGCAGAATAAGGATCATTTGGGCAGCGGTAGCAGATGAAGTCCGGCGAAGAGGATTGGATGTGAATGTGCATTCCGATTTGGATCCGCTTACGACTGTTTAATTTGGTGGCTGGACATTGTTCAGGCATAATGCTGCTATAGATGGGTAGCCAAAGGTAGAAGTAGAGTTATCTTTGTGCTAGCATTCTTTATATTTGCTTTTTAGTTTAGCGTATACCCCAGGTTCTGTAATGTTATCATGTAATAATCGTTAATCTTAACTATAATAATCATTATTCTATTGCATTCCGTAATCAAACGCGTTGGTCGCGACAGTTCATCTTGCGCTTTCCTCGCCAGCACCTCGCACCACCTTCCTTCAAACATACCATCACGATGTTTCGCACACCTCGCATCGTCCCTGCCATTAGCGTGCTTTTCCTTCTCTCGCTAGCATCCTTTGTGAATGTAATCCGAAAGACAGTGCCAGTCCTCGGCGCACCCATCCATGGTCAAAGCTACTTGGCAGAGCTGCAAGCGAACGATTTCCCAAAGATTATACATCAGAGTTGGAAGACGTCTAAAGTACCGATGGTACGTGTATGAGGGTCGCAAATAAAGAAAATACAACGCCCCCCGCTCATCTTGACGAATCAACATTGGCAGCGCTTTCAAAAGTGGATCAACACCTGGCAAGATCAAAATCCAGAGTGGACGTACATTCTCTGGACCGACGAAATGAATCGTCTACTGATCGCCAACCATTACCCCTGGGCGCTCTCTACGTACGACAATCTCCCTTTACCCATTGAACGCGCCGACATGGTCCGGTACTTTTATCTCCACCGCTTTGGAGGCATTTACGCTGACCTTGATATGGAGTGCCTCGAGTCGATGAACAAGCTTATCATGACGTATGCGCCGGACTATATAGCCAATGGCTCAGCTGTCGTCCTCTTGGGACACATGTCTGAGGATTACGAATTCGAGCACAATATTCCCAACGCATGGATGGCGGGTACACCAGGACACTCTTTCTGGATGCACATGGCAAATACCATTCTAGAAGCTGCCAACCAGAACGCAACGGATAACGCGGAAAAAACCACGGGGCCTGTGGCATTGAAGAATACCTTGATGAAATATGTGGCGACGGTCGGCGCTGAGGATCGTGATTCTATCCGTGTTCTCCCACCTGGAATTATTTACCCGCATGATTGGCATGATTATGCGGGAGAGGATGTGGGGCCAATTTGCTGGGCCAAAAATGAAGGATTTGATGAAGTCAAATGTAAAGAGGCTGTTGTGACAAGGAAGGCGTTCACGATGACCTACTGGACTCATTCCTGGGAAGGCGACTGGTATAAAGGATATGACAATGCTTGAACGGCATGACCGCTAGTGAGAAACGAAGGCGGTTCCTACTGTATGTTACTTATGTGCAAAGTTTTCATTTCTTGGCGTATATTTGCAATGTACCTCTACGTTTGAGAAATATTTATATATAAGGATGTTATCTGATATTTTGGATCGAAAGGTTATATATTCATTATAATGGAGTGACAGCACACTTCTATGGATACGAGGGAACTATGTAAAAAACAAGAGGCCGATGTCTATATACAGTAAAGGAGACGCAACAGCCTAAATACACTAATATTAACATATGGCTGCCTTGGCTATCACAGACGATGAACCACTGCTCTTCATAGTAGGTCCATCACATTTACGCCCAACGTGGGAAACAAACTTTTGGAGTCTGACCAAGGTCTGCTCCATAGAATAGCAGTCATTTCTCTTTTGACGTAGGTCCTCAGCAATGGTGCAATACTGCCAGCACGCCGCAACGAGAATCAATAACCTGTAGCCAGCCATGGACACCTCACGCAACCGATCATACGTGATCTGAGGATCTACCATGAGGATGCGTTCTACTCGCTTGACATTTGCGAATGGAATGAAATCAACACCGACACGGAGGTTCATCAGCCAAGTTTTGAACTCGTAGCGGCTCATGCACTTTTTGATGGTAGGCCACGGCATCGTAGCATCCACGAAATAATCTTCAACGGAATCTCCAAAGGATTGCTGTACTTTTCGACGGTTTGCTACAGAGCTGTCAACACCCTTGAGAATGCAGAGACATTCGCAAACCGTTTGCAATTCGGGAGGGGGTGCGGAATACCATATCGCTTCGGTGAGCTCGTTGAGCGACACATTCCTCAAATAAGCTCGATAGTGACTCAGATCGCCGTGCTTTTCTCGTTCAGTTTCCCGATAGATCCTGTTGGCTTCAGTTATCTTTTCTCCCAACTCAACCAGTTTCGTCTCGAAACGGGCAAGGAGCACGACAGTTGCGAGTGCCGAATATCTCTTTGAAATACAGCGCATAATACAAACATGCTTTGTGGGCATGCTCTCAAAGAGAATGAGCAAGAGTTCGTTGGGAAGGTGTGGGAAAGAGGGTCGGGGCTTAGAGGAGGATACGACTGGGACAGGAGCGGTATCAGCAGAGAGCTTCTTGTGGAGAGTTGTGGTTGAAAACTGGGGCATCTTGAGAAGTGATTTTGGGGAAGGGGATGAAAAGATGGTTGAAGTCCTATTACGGGGAGATGCAGACAATGACCTTTGGGCAGAACCTCGCGATGGGGAATTCATTTCCGTGTGTGTTGTGCACAGATGAGGGTTTCTGGTTTGTTGGGAAAAGCTCTAAAAAAGGTTCCTTTAAGTCAAAAGGGCTCCTCTTGTTCCCCCCCGTCCAAAAAGGAAGGGAGATCTTGCAGTGTTTTACAACGAAAAGCCGCGACGCTTCTTCTCCTTTAATTTGGGCGAACGGCGAGTCCCTATTTTTAGCAACGATTTTCGATATGAAATTTGGGCTATTTTTAGGTGAGATGCATTACAGGATGCGATGCACAAAAGAATATCCGCTGGTGAACAGCAAAGACGTCAAACAGTTCAACTGGACTAGGTAAAAAAGAATGGGATATGATTTACAAACCAACGCCTCTATTTTGCCCAAATGTCCTTAACCTTTCGCAATTCCCTTTCCCTTCCGGTCAAAAACCTTTGGCAATTCCCTTTCCCTTCCGGTCAAACTTGAATTTACCCAAGTGACGCTTTGCACCGTCGTCGTCATCAGCTATTGTTATTTCCTCGTTTTCCTTGTCATCTGTTACATTGGGTTCGCTTGTCTTGGTTTGTTCTGTGACCGACTCCATCTCTTCTGTACCATCGTCAACAGTCATGTCCTACAAGTCGGCCAAACCGGCCATAATTAGCTCGCTTTTTAGAACATTATTACAATGCATTACAACTTACATCCTCTGGTCTGTCATCCGCTGGTCCGTCCTAATAGGCAGGGGAAATAAATGTCAAGAGATTTCTTGCAGTCTTCTTTGCAAAGGCGACGCTTACCTCATTTACCGTCCGGCCAAAGAAGCTAGTGATAGCATGAACAGCACCTTTCATTTGGTTGTCACTGGATCGAACATCATTGTCATCTATTGATGCATGCTTCTTTTCGGTCCTTCTTGCCCTTTTCTCATTCGGGGGCACTCCATCCTGCAAAAGAGTAATGTAAATACCCAATTCGGGCATGTGCTTGCAATTTACAGCTGTCCAAACCTCGTCTTTCCTAGAAATGCCAAACAAGGTTGTTTGATTCTTTCGTTTTCTCGCATTGTCCTCATTCTCCCTGCCCTTTGCATCAGCTTAAAGAATGTTAGACTCGAGTGACATTTCAGCTCAAATCACGCCAGCCCTTCATGCCCTACCGTCAGCTCTCTTCGCACTGGTCACTCCTTTGATTGCATCAAAAAGGTTTTTACTCCCGTTCATCGCTGGTGGTTTAGAGATACCTCCTACAGCAAAAGGGTTGCGCACATGGGAGGTGGTTCCCCGGGTATCATTCTCGGATGTGCTTCCAGAGACCGCATGTGTGGAATTGCGGCCTTCCTTTACTGTTGATGTCGCCTCAGACTTTTCGCTGGGTTCCAGTTCGTCGGTGACGTCTACCTTATCCGGGCACGCAGAGGTTTCCTTGGCGATTCCTCCTGATGACGTTCGACCTCTACTATTCCGGATTCTGACGGGAACCGGAGGAGGCATCTCGTCAGAGCGCACCCTAGCTTGACTACCGTTTCGTCCGACATCGCTGTCCATCGCAGACAAAACTGCAGATATTCCACTGTGCGGCGTAGACGCCGTTTGAAATGACTGCCTCAGTCGCCTCTCTTCAGATTGCCTTTCTTGTCGAAGCCGCCCCTATCAGGATGATCACACCATTTACTTTGCTGCTTCAAATATGCAGCAAGCATACGTGCCGTACCTCCTTCACGATATTCATTCTCTCAGCAAGCGCAGGTAAGTGATGCATAACAGCAATTTTAATCGCTCCGTCGATTGCTTTAATAGTATGCAGACTGCCACAAAGATCCAAAGCCCGCTGGACCTTCTCCGCTTTACAGGCAGTCTTTACGGATCGGTAAGCGAAATGAAGTCACTTTGTAGCATTTGATAACATGTTGAGATACACACCAGAATCAATTTAACTATAATCTTGTCCATCTCCACGTCCTGTTTAAGCAGATCTTTTTCTCGCAAATCGACCTCTCCTCTTTCCTCCGCTTCCCCACGATTATGGCTAGAGAGAACTGAAAGACGGAAGAGCCTGACGATGTTTATTAGCAAATTATAAAATAAACACTGAATATCAATCATACGAACTTTTCTTCCTCAACACCATTGGGTGTATCCATGTCGAGAAACGGCGCTTGCAGGGGTATATCGCTCATCAAAGGGCGCGGAAAGGGTGGTGACCGGTCTAGTCCCTATTAAGAATTAGAATTAGAATTGGGGTCATCATCGGAAGCCATAGGCAAGGCCAATTTGGGACGAACTTTGCATGTGATGCACATCAATCGATCCTCCATCACTTCCACCGGCCAATACCACTCTTGTTTTTCGCCGCGCACGATTCGTGAATCGAGAACTGGAACCCAGGCAAAGTCATTATGTCGCATTAGATTGCGCAGGACACCGGCGGAGTCGTATACTGCTGGTATCTGTAAATAAAAGGCTGAGTTGTACGTCCTTTAGTCAATGTACTGGGCATCTGAATCCTACCCCCAAGTCCGAAATGCCAGCCCATTGCAAGGTGGACCCTGGCGAGATTGGTAAACCATCCCGTCGAACCGATTTTTTGGTCGGGACATGGAACAGCATATAAGCAAGATTCTGTTCACCTTAGGGAGGAATGCTGAATTAGTATTGACGCTTACGCTATTCTGGGTATTTAAAGTTGCTGTCCGCACCATGGTATACACCTCCCGCATGGTAGATAATTAACAGCCAATCTCCCTTGCCGGTCATAGTCACCACGGGACCAGGTAGCGACATGACAAATGTTTGCAATCCGCTGTACGAAAAAAATCGCAAGTATCGCTGGCTCGTCGCTGCAACAGGGCCGCTACTTGTGATTGCGATGGCTTTTCCACAGTGTTGCTTAGCACCTCGTAGTTTGCATGTCAACTACAACATGTTAACCCCACCTTTAACACTTTCTGTTTCTCGGAAGTGCATTGTCCAATCCGCTTTCGTCGCCCATGTGTCAAAAGGTCTGTAAAAAAGGGTGCTCGGATTTCCGCTACTTGCTTCGGAAGCAAAGCATGCTCCTGATTCTCCAAGGCACGCCATGCTGTAGTTGTGGTAATCGGTGAAATGAAACGGGCGTATGGATCGGTCGTGAAATTCCACGTTCACGTTGTGGTGGGTGTGTAAATCAATGGTGTAGATCACACCGACCATGTTGAAAGCTAAGCCCGTACAAGGTATTAAGTGATGTGTGCTGCAACAAGTAGGGCGACTGCTCATGCTAACCTAAGTATCTTCGGTCGGCCTGCAAAGGTGTTGCACCGGGTTGGAAAGCTTCCTGTACCTCAAGACCCGACAGGTCCATCTGTCGTCGACCACCATATTCTAAGCGCCATCCGTGAGCGCGGACGAAAAGGGTGTACACAAAGCCTTCGGGCTTACCTCGCTCGAGGTCGGCAAGTACCTTCGCCCTTCCTTTTTCATAATACTTTTTGAGCTGACCAGGCTTATCCAGAGGATTTGCGTATCCGGCACCATCGTCGTCCACTACAAAGTCGTCCGGATTCTCGTCCTCCCCAAAGTCATCAAGCATGGAGGCATTGTATTGTGCAAGTTCGTCATCTTTCTTCCCGGGCGTGTCTGTTAATCATGTATGTCAGTTGGCGTGAATCAGTTTGTTTGCGACCAGGAGAGCCAATGATACCCACCGCTTCGCTGCTCATCGCCTTCATCTACTTCCATCGCCTCCTCTTCAAAGAGTCTTTCCAGCTCTCCCTTTTCCTGTGCGGACGCCGGTACAGCATTTGCCCAATATGACATTCTACCAAGCTCGTCAGTCTAAAGCCCAGAGTGGGATAACGTTAGATACGAATTCGCACTATAAGCAGTGCACACCATGCACATGTTCATTCACACGCATCCGCTTACCATGCATAGATCATCCGCCTTCGGATGCCACGCCAACCCCGTTATGCGGCACTTTGCCTGATCTCTACAACGACCGTAGAATTTTAGCATATTCACTTCGGCCAAAACTTTGTCATTGGAACCGACCTGAAGAGTGGGTTTTTTCTATCGTCATCTGGCTTCCATATGCACAGGCGTCCTTGCACGGTCACGGTAGCCAGCAAAGATCCACTATTAGACCAGGCCACGAGTGCAATACACTGATATGCACGAAGATTGAAAGAACTTATATGTCACGATCTGGATGCAATGTGAGACAGACACCACTTACATCACTCTGATTTGCTTCTTTCAGAGAATACAGATGCCTCCAGGTATAGGCTTCTAATATAACGGTATCTGCCAGGCGGGTGTTTAGTCAGTGCTTCTCCATTTCGGTCGTATTGTACTGCTACGCACCACCCAGCTTGCCCGGTATTGCGAAATGTTTCCCCGAGGAATGCCACGACATTCGACAGTATTCGTTGGTTCTGGGATATTGGTGAAACAGGGATGCGTGATGCGAGAGAAAAACTATCGTTGTGGCGATGCGTGAAAGCTTACTCTGGATCTGACGTGGCAATTATTGAACGCAGGACCCGCTCACACTTGGGTTTCTCTCCTCGTAGGTCCCAAACCATCAACTCGCCATCTGATCCGGCAGAGACCTAAAATGCCCCTAACTAAATGAGTGGATACTGTTCCAAAGGTGCTCAACGGAGCTAAGTCGCATACCAAGAACTCCCCACGAGAGTCAAATGATAGAGACTTTAAACCCCGACGATGACCTCTCAGCGTCATGATATTCGTGATGTCTTCCGTATCTACCAGTTTGATATCTAGCTCACTGGGATCGAGACTTAGAGAGCATCAATGAATCAAAGCAGCGCAACGTTCACCTTACTCTGACGCTATCGCTGCCCATTGTGCTTTATTAGTTCCATGTCTTCCTGGTCGCAAAACCACATCTCGAACTGTGAGAGTGCAGCGCAGAAGCAGACGTTGATATTGACCAGTTGGTAGAGAGTATAGACAGACGGAATGATCCTCAGATCCTGTCACGATCCGTTCGCTCTATGTTCAGTGATTTTTAATGTCATTTCTGTCGCCCTATATTCCAATTGGAACCCAGACGCCGGTTGAATGCGATATACATACGTCGACATGTATACATGTGATCGCCCCTTTATGTTGCTCGACCTTTATGGCGTCCTCATCCTCTTCGTCCCCATCACGAACCGCTGTCGTCGATACGATTCGTAAAATTGCGTCGTCCCCAACGCTCAATATTCGGCTATATGAACAAAATTGCTGTAAGTTTGCATGCTTTCGGCCTAATGCTGTCGCTATGTTCTCAACAAATATCAACATATAACACTCCTGCACCGTGCTTCACATCGATGCCAGTTCATATCAAGTGCCCCCGCAGCAGTATCCATGCTTAATGTTTACCTTCCGTCCGGTGAGAAGACCACATTTGTCCGCCCTTGTATATGGGCCACTCGAGGCCGCAATCTTTGAAGTACGGACATGGACAAGCGGCGAACGTGAATATGTATCTAACGGGGACCCTTATCGTGAGAGAAGACCCGTCCCACTTTGAAGAAAGACTAGCGGTTTATATGTGCTAGAATGTTGGAAGGTGAGTTCAGCGAGGTAGATGGTAAAAGGTCCGACGCGTGAGTCATGTCCGAAGCATGTCCGATTCCTTCCAGAACTGGGCGAAATACAAGTAATTGTCGGCAACCTTTCCGGCTCACCAGGCTGCAGTAGGATAACGATAACATCCTGATACAATGAATTCATCTACATCCTAGAATCAATAGAATCTGTTTCCTATGTCTGAAGGTATTCTCGGCCCAAGCTTCGCACACCGTGAGCTTTCAAGGCACTCTGATGATCCACAAGTATCCGCAGCATATACAATAGCTATCACCTTACTAGCAGCACATTGCTTCACAATCCATAGCTCAAGAGAACGCCTACCAGTACGCTTTTCCAATAATGCGCCATAGTACGCAACTTGCCCGATCAATTGCGTAAGCGTGAAGGGCACGTGACCATGGCTATGATAAAGCGATAGCATCTTTTGAACTTCCTACGACGAACGGATGTAAACAAATGCCCCGCACACAAGTTCTAGCACCTATAATATCAGAACCAGTGCGTTCCGTGGCTGACGGCGATGATGCTATTGCCGGACTGGATACCCCGACGTTAAACGGTGCCATCAAGTACCGACGAAATGTGTCTTTTGCTGCGTCGCTCTTTGCAATGGTTAGTGATCTCTGCGGCATCTGGGTACTATTATCATATTAGTCAACTTTTGTGGTATTACTCTAGGTCTGCGGAGGCACCCTCTATCTGTTTTCTGCGTATGCGACAGCATGTCCGTGCACGTTAGACAGCGTTTATTTGCGCGCTGCCGTCTAACCTCACCATTTTCAGTTGCAGAGAAGCTTGGGTATACGCAGACACAAATGAACCTCATTGCCAGTGCTGGGGGGTATATTTCATCTATTTCTTGTTATGCAGAGTTATATGTTTCTCATTGTATCCAAATCCGACTTTCAGATTAGGATTATATCTCTCTGGTCCGGCGATGGGATCTTTTGTAGACCGATACGGGCCAAAGAAAGTTGTATTTGCATCAGCCGTACTCCTATTTACCGGCTATTCATGCATGGGTATGTCTGCCTGTTAACGTGATCTACAACTCACTTTGGATCGCTGTTACTCAACTGCGTTGTCGCTATCAGCATTGACGTTCAACGGAGCCTTTGCACACAGCTCCTTCCTCTTGGTAGCAGTATCCTACGCACTTGTAGGGCTCGGCTCGGCTGGTAGTTATAATGCAGCTATAACCACAAATGTCCGAAATTTTCATCCACGAGACCACGGCTTCGTTGTTGGCATATCTGTATCTCTCTTTGGATTGTCAGCGTTCATCTTCTCGCAACTTAGCGCGTTTTTCTACCGCCGTCCTTTATCTGCAGAGTCGTCGTCTGCACCACATCATGAAGCAATCGATACGTACGCATTCCTCATGTTCCTAGCATGCGCCACAGGAGGAGCGAACCTCGTTGCTACTTTGGGGCTGACAGATTTATCAAAGGATACTGGAATAGTTTACCAGAGACGAAGTTCAGAGAGTGTGCACGTAGGAGAAGAGCGAAGAGGTCTGCTGCCGACCGAAGACGAAGAGGGAAGCGGCATAGATGTGAGGGTTGAGGATACGCATTCATCGCAGCCGTCTGCAAGGGCTCCCAACCCTGAAGACCGGCACATAAGCGTGAATACGTCACTATTCCAGAGTACTGATGCTTGGATCTTGTTTGTTGCTTTCTTGCTACTTACTGGCACTGGTCTGATGTTCATAAACAGTAAGCTCAACCATTTTACGTCCAATGCCTTTGAGGACGCTGACCCTTCTTTCTTTCAAACTGCAGACATTGGCGCGATTGTGGTTTCTCTCTTTCCTCTGGCTAGCGATACCGTTCTCATCTCCAAAGCTCAGGCGCGTCAAGTATCCATTATATCCATATTCAATTGCGCTGGAAGAATCGTCACAGGTCTTGGCTCAGATACCGCGCAGCGAAGGTGGGGTACACATCGACTGTCGTTCATGATCATGGGAGCAGGACTCCTAGCTGTTACACAAGCTGGGTTAGCCATATCGCCGTCTATGGACGTTTTACATATTTGGACAGCTTTGGTGGGATTTTCCTACGGAAGCTTGTTCTCAAGTGGTCCTGTAATTGTCGGGACATGGTTTGGGATCAAAAAATTTGGAACACATTGGGGATGGTAAGTACTACGTTCCCCACGTCACAGAGTATCATGTTTGCAAATATCTTTTCATCCAGGTTTCAATGGGGCCCAGCTGCTGGAGGGCAGCTCTGGAATACAGTTTTCGGTGCCATTATGGATGCAAACCGACCCACAAAACCGGATGGGGAATGTAAAGGATCGCACTGCTTCCAATTGGCTTTTGTGCTGACAGCTGTAGGTAGTCTCTCTAGTATGGGACTGTTATACATTTTGTATTGGCGACGAACTGCCAGCTACGCGCCCTTGCACTAGCTGCTGCATCTACTGTAGGCAATTTTTATATTTAATGTGTATAATCAAGTATCTGAGAAATTTGCCTCATTGTCTCTGCACGATAGTATGTCAGTATCTCGCGAATCAATGTTAAGATTAGCAAGCAATCACATTTGAACAAGACCTGGAGAACTTCCCCGTTGATGCTTTGCGCAACCTTACTTTTTCATCTTCTCTACGGTACTAATCCTAAAGTCATTTTTAACCACGCCTAAATCCGTACGTGATGGACCTGTCTCCCCTCCACGGTCCTAGACGACGTGGGTGCGCTGGATTGTCTGGAATGTCGCCGGCGCTAAATGCAAAGTGCCGAGGCCTTGTCCCAATGGGATGCCTTGAGTGAGATTCATTGGGGATGTCAAAGCGACGGAATAATACGCCGTAAGACCCTATCCTTAAAGGGCAGAATCCGTACAAAATAATCCCGCGCGCGAAAACAATGCTATTTAAAGCAAATGGATACGCTTCCCATGCCGTGGATAAAGTTTGGGTAAAGCAGGGAGGATTCAGGCACCCTCCCCATGTCAATTTCGGTTGGTAAGCTTGCCGATGCCCGGCAGGCGGTATGACGGAACCGTGATCTATGCAGTGCCTATTTATATTTAAGTTTGTGGTGGCTTTGAGCATGCTTGCAACTCATAAAGACATGGACCTAGCAAACAGTGTACTGTATATACAGCAAAGATGAGCAGTTTTCGACCAGTTTCCACGGACGACACCGAGAGCATGTCGGGCAATAGTGTGCCAAATTCGCCCAACCCAAATACCCTTCACAATACCATGTCAGAGTCATCAGACAACAGATCTGATCGAGATATGGACAGTCAACCCAACTCCCAGGTTGAATTTTTTCCAAAGACAAGAACCCCGACAAGAACACCTAGTGGAGTACGCACATCACGTTCGGGACGATCATCTGCAACACCTCTTGTCGCACGACTATTTGCTGAATATGCAAAATCAAATCAGGAGCGACAGCACGGTAGCGATGCCGGTTACTCTGATAGCGACACCGAGAAAGTAGTTGATGTGCCCTTTGGGAAGGAACTGACCTTGAAAGAGGGCAAAGCTTTGGAATTTACAAAATCTAGGGAACTTGCAAAGGAAGAGCTGCCGAATCTCTACGCGGATGTTGTCCATCCGCGTTGGAAACGCGAGTTGATGAGGAACTATCTTCAGACTTTCCTGATAACTTTGGTGACTGCAACAATTGCGTATATGGTAAATATTTTTTAACAATGTGCCAATGTTGCAGCGAATTAACTGTCCACCTTAGATTATCATTACCATCAGTAAACTTCCATGGCAATCCGACGAATTTAGGCAGTCAACGTATTCGTCCAGTCTATCAGAACCTTACTTTAAATCCCCCCTCTATGCGGTCCTGGCCGCGCTTACATTTATAACCTCCCTTGTCGGCTTTGTTGCGGTCCAGTTTTGGAGTATGTTTGGTTGGGAAAGATGGAAAACATCAGGCATCGGCTGGGTTTCACTAGTGATGTCGCTTTTTGTGGTCGGTGGAATGATGGGACTGTGGCAGAGTCGTTTGACTTACTGGTGGTAAGTAACCTCCGAAAGGCAAAAGGTCAATCTATATTATTAACTTGTGGTTATCTTTCCAGGTGGTACGGAGATGCCTTTATCCTTGGTAAGTGTTACAAGTTATCAAAAAACCTGACCTGAAAAGAGGAAGTTGACACCTTTTTAAATAATAGCCATTACTTACACAACAATGTGCTTTGCCTTTGGCGTTCTTGGTTACGTTCAAGCAAACGACAGCACCAAGCTTCGCCTGCGCGAGCGCTTCAAAGAAGGTGTACTTTTCACGATTGCAGAGCTTATCGTTGCCGTTGCGTCTCTGATTTATGGACTGTGGATGATGCCCGTCTATAGCCACCTTTCTCTGCCGGCGAAGATGGCATGGCGTGCTCTCGTTCATCCGGCGTACTTTGAGTTCTTGGTCATGGTACCCACCCGCATGCTAATCGAGCATCGCGCGAAGCGTCAGTCTGGGTCGCTGAACGCTCTGCAAGCATTGACAATGGTGCATGCACAGAGTCATATTTTAACCATGTCCACCGCCATGCTGTCAGAGTTGGGTGGATTCAAGGAAACTTTACTAGGGGTGTTCCTAATGCACGGAGAGCGTTATATTTTGAGGTCAACGGTAATCATTCGCGATCATGCCGTTCGGAGGCTATTCAGATTCAAATCCAACGATAACTTGGAAAAGTACCTACTGGCCATGGAAATGTGGATAGAAATCATAATGGACAATAGCGCAACACTATTTGCCCCTTACATGGCTTTGGCCTTCCTACCGTTAAAGGACACATTCACCTTTCATTATGAAGGAGTTGGTAAGTAGCGCAATACGGCTTCTAATCGAAAACATTTCTCAAAGTGTCCTTTTTCTTCTGGATGATTTTAGTTCACGAGGTCACCACTCAGACGGTAATTCAAAAGATCTTTATCCAATTGACACTTGGGATCTCCTACGACCTGGTGTTTCTTTTAACAAACACAACACGTCTGCAGCGCCTCCCGTTCTTGAGAACATGGCGCGACATCATGGTTCATCGGAGAAGGTTTACAACATTCTTGGTTTATTCGATGAACACTATGGGATTGCTGCTACTTTTGTGGATGTTTATCCGAGTACCTCGGGCAGTGATGTGCGAATCTGCAGATCCATGTTCTTGTTTCGTGAACCATCCAGAATGCCGTGGAAGCTCGTAGGCTTAATCTAGCTAATATCTAGCGTCGCTGAAAGTTGGTAGATGGTGAAGGAATCAGGCATCAGTGTAGTATTTACATGGTACAAATTGTAGCTCTCTCCCTTTGTGTTTGTCGTGTCGGTCATTGTCATTCCTCGGGTTCAGTGCCCAGACATTTTTCTTCCTCCAAAATGCGCTCATTCTGAATCAATCTATCCACGTCGCCCACCTTCCACTCTCCGTCCATTCTGTCTACAAAATGCGGGCTCTCAAATCTCACCCACACAGGATGATCCACTGTTTGTTGCGAGATGATTGTACCTTCACCATCCCCATATTTCTTTTCACGCACAGTGACACGGAATTTTGTTTGGAAACAGACGTCAACCCCTACTACTTGTCCCTTTCGAATTATGGACGATTTGAGCCCAAAGGAAAGAGGGCCACGTAGGGCTTCAGGAGTGTCAGACTGTTTAAAGGCATATTCAAAGACCACTTCTCTGAAAAGATAACGTTGATTGTCCGAATCCCTGAGCTCCCTCACAAAGCTCAGAGGGTTGAAGCGTCTTACGACTTTGCCAAACATCAGTGTTGATTTGACCTCTTCCGCAGATCCAAAAGTGAGCCAAACGTCGCCCGGAGTCGTCCGTAATTCATCAAGGAGCTTGAACTCGATTTCCACCCCTTCCTTGTCAAGTTTTTGATGTGACTTTTGAAAGCGCTGGTACATGCTGGGAGTTAATAGCTCTGAAAGGGCATTGTCCGACGACGATGACCCGTTCCATTTTGAGAGACGCGGTAATAAGGACGTGAACGCGAAGCCTGCGCCTTGAGTGAATAGATCAGGGAAGTATTTGGGCTGATTTTCTGCCACAGGGAAGCGGGATTCCATCCAACCCTGAGTCTATTAGTTAGTACTGGCTCGAGTCCCGTAATATGAACCTTGATACATTGGACGCACCCAAGTTGTTATTCTTGCAATATTCCTGCATGTACAGATTGAATGTGTTCATGAGTCTTTTGTAGGGCGAGCGGTACCATGACAGAACTTTTCCCCACCTCCTAGCAGGACCCAAAAAAACCCGCTCAACCCATGGCCACCATGACGGTATCGGGTCGAAAGGCCTATGAGAAGTGTGTAAAAAAAATAATCAGTGCCATTGTCCTTGGAAACCCTTCCTTTCCAACTTACCCCCGCCTCGGAGTGCCGGTTAACCGCAACGGATAGTCTTCCAGTATCTCATCAAGTGGAATATAGGATCGCGGAGCTTCCAAAGCCTCCTCGTCGCATCCTTCTGACAAAGTTATTGCAAACTTTGTAAGCGTGGATGAAGAGTGGGATGAAGATGGTACACGTTTCTGAACCTTTCTCCCACGAGGGTTTAGAATATTGGCGAACCAAAGGCTGCACTGTACTTGACGACGGGAAACGACACGGCAAGTAGCGATGACGGGCAGTGGGCATCGCCCTCGTCAAGGGAAACTTTGCCAGCATCGTGTGATGAACGAGTGCTGTGTGGTGGCCTTTTGGTTGCGATGGACCATTTGCAACCAGCCTAGCAATCTATCCATTTCTGGATATATTACGAGATCACGTGAACGCGATGAAAGTTGACGTCGCCATGCGCAGATCTTTTGCAGGGGATCGTTGAGATAGCGGCCGCGCAAACACAACATTGAGGTGTATTGCTGGGTGTGTTGTGAACTCTGAACGAGCAACGAACAACGAGCGATGAACGACCGCAGCGGTCACGACGGGAACCATGTAGCCATAGCCAAACCTGCACGGCCAACGCCATTCAAAATCTCGTAATTTATCGCATGCACTGCCAGCAAAAAAAAAACACAATCAAGATATCCGCAAGATGCGTCCGCCATCTCATTGGTCGGAATGCATCGGACGCCAATTGATGGCAATGAAAAAAGATTAGATCTAAATCACGTGATATATAGATACAATTATCTGCCTTATAAAGGGGATCGCTTGGTTTTTTCTTCCTGCCTCGCTACCCACGCATCTACCCACACATTCTCCCCTCATCATGAACCCTGCAAGATCTGCTGCTGCACGCGCCGTGCGCGCCATCTCCTCTTCTGCAAGGCAACCTGCCGCCCGCACCATCACCACTGCGGCTGCACGAGCAATCCGTGCTAGCGCTCCCGTTGCCGTGAGAAGCCCTGTGGTAAGTTTCTGGCAGGATGTTGTGGTGGACAACACGATAGATTCATTGGCTAAACAAAATTTCAAACATAATTGCAGTTTGTCCAGCAACGTGGCGTCAAAACCTTGGACTTTGGTGGATCAAAAGAAACCGTCTGGGAGAGATCTGACTTCCCCAAGGAAAAGCTCCACAAGATCTTTGCCAACGACACTTTTGCCGTCCTCGGCTACGGTACACAAGGATATGCCCAATCGCTCAACCTTCGCGACAATGGTCTCAAAGTGATTGTTGGTGTGCGTAAGGGCGGTCACTCTTGGGAGGCTGCAAAGAAGGACGGCTGGGTGGAAGGCAAAACCCTGTTCTCCATCGAAGAAGCTGCTGACAAGGGTACTATCTTGATGTACCTTTTGTCTGACGCTGGTCAGAAGGAGGGTTGGCCTACCATCAAGCCATACGTGACAAAGGGCAAAACACTCTATTTCTCCCACGGTTTCAGTGTCGTATTCCCCGAACAGACTGGCGTTGTGCCACCAAAGGATGTAGACGTGATCCTTGCTGCCCCCAAGGGCTCTGGTGCTACCGTCCGCTCCTTGTTTCTGGAGGGCCGCGGAATCAACTCGTCTGTTGCTATCCACCAAGACGTATCTGGTCAAGCTCGCGAGCGAGCATTTGCCATGGGTGTTGCAATTGGATCTGGATACCTCTACGAAACTACATTGTAGGTGTCGCTCGCTCTTGTAATCGACTGGGGTAATGTGATATTGACGTGCTCTCTTGGTTCTTTAGCAAGAAGGAGGTGTACTCTGACCTTACTGGTGAGCGTGGTATCTTGATGGGTGCCATTCAAGGAGCGTTTGCCGCTCAGTACGACGTCCTCCGTGCCAAGGGTCACAGTCCCTCTGAGGCTTTCAACGAAACTGTCGAGGAGGCGACCCAGTCTCTATACCCATTGATTGCAAAGAATGTGAGTGTCGCTGCTGTTCCGGACACCAACTGATTATTCGTGAGACTTATCCTCTTTTTCTTGACAGGGTATGGATTGGATGTACGCCAACTGCAGTACCACCGCTCGTCGTGGTGCTCTTGACTGGGCGCCCGAATTCTACAAGGCCACCAAGCCTGTGTTTGAGGCTCTGTACGAGTCTGTCGAGAACGGATCTGAGACCAAGAGGAGTTTGGAGGAGAACAGCCGACCAGACTACCGGGAGCGATTGGAGGCCGAGCTCCGTGAAATCCGTGAAAGTGAAATGTGGCGGGCTGGCCGAACGGTGCGAAGCCTCCGTCCCGAGAACAATTAAAATGTTGCGTACGATGGGGATGGTAAGCGGGTAGATGGAAACCATTTGTTGTAATTAAGTATTTGGATGAATTTGAATGCTACTGGTTTGACAGTCGAATGTTGTCTAATTCGGTTGCAATGTGTAATTTGAGAAATGATGCAATAAAAGGGTTTGTTTTAAAAGAGCGCCATGTGACGGACAAGGGGGCATGTCATGCGCTGTTGCTTACCTCAGCTGATATGGAGGCCGCCCGACGGGAGGCGAGGGGAGTATAAAAAGGATAGCGGATATCGTTTTGGTTTTTTTGTTTTATTCTGCTCATTTTCCCTTTCAACGGACGGCCTGGAGGGAACGAGCAACCTTTTTTTTTTTGAGTTTGTGTTGCTTTTCGAGGTTTTTAGCAACAGACAAGGACATCCCCCGTGCCGTGTCCAGTGCACATCCATTTGAACCAAAAACAAGGACAGCAACTCGTCTTTTTTTACACCAAACATGTCTTCTTCAAGCACAGCGCCCATTACCATTCCTATGCGTGCCACATCCTCGCTCTTGCGCGGTTCACCTCCACTCATCGAAACTGGGTCGTCCGCCCCTCAAGCTGCCTCTGTCTCTCCGACCTCTGCAAAGCACCATCCGATGGCCCGTCGAGGTTCTATGGCGTATCCATTTGTCGATGCTGATCCAGAGGTTGAGGGTTCTTCTCCTCCTACAAGGACGCGCACTATGAGTTTGTATGATATCCATTCGCAGGATCCGTCCGGAAAGGCCGTGTGAGTGGGCCGGGTGATGGGCGGTGTGGAAAGTTGCATTATCCATCTTGTTTCTTTTTTTGATTCCTTTTGGGTTCACGGTTAGGCTTTGCTTTGTGTGTAAGATACATTTATATATCCCGTTGTCTTTTCTGGAAATCATTGCGCATCAGAAAATGTCACTTTTTTTTTTCTATTCTGGGTCTTTTGCTACATGTGCACTATAATTACACGAATTACATTTTTCAAAAGTCAAGGCTGGGCGCTGTTGCAAGCACCTTGACAATCCAAACACGGTTTTCTGTGGCAGGCACCACAGTATGAGGATCAACAAATTTCAGTCCTCCATTCAAGGTGATGCGGAAACAGCTTTCAACAGATACAGGGGCCACCGCTCGCAGTAAGATTCGGGTCTGCTCACTCGATGGTGTGTCGGACGGTTTCGTCCGTCCGCCTTTCCCAGTTGGCGGAGGTTTGCCCGATGATGGAGATTTCGGTGATGAGGCCAGGGACAATTGTGATATGCTTTCCATTGCCTCACTGCCGAGTCTATCCTTCTTTTTCTTGGTTCCAACTCTTTCTATCCCAATTTTCAGCGTCCTGGTGTGCCCGAGTTCGACAGTTCCCTCAGTAGGTTCTATGGTAAATTTAAACTTTTCGCCACCAACACTGGCCGCCCGGGCTCCATCCTCTTCGATGTCTTCAATTGGAAGGAATACTCCCAGATCCTCGTAATAGGCAAAGTCCATCTCATACGGATCAATCACAAAATCAGCGGGCACTGCTGGTGCTGATGTATGCTTTTGTTTATCTTTCTTCTTTCCGGCAGTTCCACTCACTGGAGCGTTGCCAGGATCCGGAGGAGGTGGGGCAGGAGGCTTCAAGTTGGCAATGATCAGGTCTTTTATGTCTACTTCCCAAGCGTCATCAACCTTTTGCCACTGACACTGTAGTGTGCAGTATCGAAGATCCTCAGTCTCAAACGGCCGCATGCTCTCCAAAGCCATGGCGAGCTGGTTTCCTTGGTCATTGGCTTCGAATGGAGTTGGCATTGGTGTTGGAGGAATATTTGTCAAGGGTTCTTCATCGCTCTCCTCGCTTGACTTGTCGCTACCTGCTACTGAGTTATCTGCATCGCTTCGCACACTCCATCGACGCTCCTCTCCAGCGTCTTTCCGATGAACAAATAATTCCGGAGGTATGTCGAATGGCCCCTCGCACAGAGAGACCGGTGGAGGATCATATCCCAAAAGAGCCGTCGTTGAATCCCAGCATCGGCCGTGTACTTTACGTTTCATCTCATTCTCTGGAATGCCCCAAACCTTCACGCGAATGTAATCAAAAAAGTGATCAGACTCCCGGTCGGGAGCAAATTTAATGGTGACTTCTTGCTCTAGGCCGGGGCCGATGACCGACTCGCTAGGGATAGCAGTGAAGGCGTTTGATCCGTTTGCGTTCACTGTGCCGTACGTAGGCTCCTCCCCGGGCCTTTGCAATTCTAATTTCGACAGCTCAAAGAGACATGTAACAGGGTGGCTTCCCGTGTTCTTCACCCGAAGCGTCTTGGTACTGGTATCTCCTACGCAAAGATCACCGAAAAACAATTCCTTCTCGTGCGGCTCTTCGATATGCACCCGAGGAACAACACCTTCACCGGCCAATTGCACTTTGACCTGTGAAGTTTCCGTCAAAAGGGTGTATTCCGAGCGAGATATCACGCCTTCCTCATGCGGTTCAAAAACCATTTCAACAGCGATATCAGTCTCAGGTAATACTTCAGGTAATGCATCTCTGGCGAGCCGGAAGCAAGCACTGCCAGTGGGACGATTGCTCTCATCTAGATTCAACTCTCTAATCTTTATTGGCCGAGTTGACAAGTTCCGGAGAATAATTGGCTTCACCAAACGTTGGCCAACTGGTACTTGGCCGAAATCCAACTCTGACAGAGGCTCAACCAGGATTAGATCTGGCTTGACGATCGACGCATTGACATGAAGAAGAATCGTGCTGATGCCTTCCTGGTCGCCGACGAGCGGTGCAGTTACCTTGCCATGGCCCGAATCATGATGATTGTGATTTTTTTCTCGATTGATCTTACGAATACGACACGGAATGACGAACGAAATCCTCAATTCATTAACCGTGTCCAACCGTTGCTCAAGATCAGACTTGTATGGGGCAGACGGCACAGCTGGCAGTTTGCTGTCTTCGATCGTAGGCTGTCCGACGTCCGGCAACCGTACATCAGGGATTGCAGAAGACGCTGTGGGTGCCTTACCGCGCTGCTTTTCTCTGGGTATTCCTTTGCCAGCTTTGTCGCGGTCCTTCCCTGGAGCATTCGTACGAAGAGACGACTGCGGGATGATATTGGTATCTTCGGGTTTGGAGATGCCATTGACATCACGTTCTTTGCCTCCTCCGTTCTCCATAGCACTACCGCCATTGATGCATGAGGGGCTGATCGCCTTTCTCTCCTGCACGTTTGCCGGTGGTGGGATTTGCGGGGCAAGTTTTACCGTGAATTCTGCACTTTCACCCGGCTGCAGGCTTCCTCGGCACGGGAGGACACTGATTGGTAATGTGGAATGATCGAGTAGGAGGGTCGGATCCCGTTGTTGCTCGGGAGTTACGAGTCTAAGGTCACTTGGAGATCGCGCTTCCCACTCGGCGATGGAACACAAGTCAATGATTTGGGGCACACCAAACTCAAATTCAATAGCACACTCCTCCTCCTCGTCCTCGTTGCTCGCATGTCGTAGCCCTTCTGGCTCGCGAGAAGATGTCTCGAGTTTCAATCTCTTGCTCCACACGCGACGCTTGATCTCGGCATTTTTTCGTCGTCTTTCTTCTTCACCCGTCCACTCGCGTATAATTCTCAGCTTTTCTTCCCCAACACTCCCGTAGGCAATTGGCGCAATGGTAACCATGCCGTGCTCCCGATTGAATCGTAAAGGTGGGCATACTGCACTGCCCCGACAATGAATGACAGTGTGCTTGGTCTGCTCAATGCTCACTTGATGACATGTTATGCTCATATTGTCATACGTGCGACCCTCCTCCAGATCGGTAAGCTGTGGAGCAAACTTTATTGGCACGAGAGTGGTCAACTCAGCCGGTAGGCTGATTTCACCATTGGCCCCGTCAATCGTTAGCGCATTAGGGTGTGAAGATAGAAATCGCAAGGTTTGGGAAAGCAATGATCGGTTGATGATTTGTAAATGAATAATCTTTGGTGGTTCATAAATCGAGCATGTCCCAAAGTCAACGTTGAGCGTTCTCTCAAGACTGTCACCATGAAGTGTTCCAGGAACTTTAAGTTCAACGTCTGTCGTAGTTAACCTACCCTGCAGAGTAACTCTCAGCTTGTATGTGATGCCTTCGGCGACGTATGCTAAGCCAAGTGGAATTACAAAGCCGGCCTTCTGTCGGCTTCCAAGTTCGCGGTATGCGCTCCGCGACGGTTTGATTTTTATCTGGAGATGGAACGGTATACTCAGAGGTTGTAAAAATGCCAACCTTGGAGAGATCTCAACTTCCCCGAGAGTCGGTATTGTCATTAGTAAACTGTCAGGACGCCCCACATCCTTTGCGGAGGCGGCTGAAACGGTCTTCTTCGTCCCGCGGTTAATGTCCTCGGTAGAGTGTCCTTCAAGTTGCTCTTGCTCAATACGTTCTGATTCGTCGGGACCTGTCACAAGAAGCTTCACCGCGTATCGTCCGGCATTTTGAAGTACAACGCTACGCCGATATGATTGATCAACAATGCATAACCCAAAATCCACGTTCGCCTTGTCAAGGGTCACCGGGGGTAAGCCGATCGTTCCATCGCATCGTATTCTTATCGGTTCTACGCCGAGCTCCTCATCAAAAAAGATTGCAAATGTGGCACCTTCCGACGTTTTTACTCTTGCTGCAAGACCTTGTGGTGGACTGAACCTAATCTGGATGCTGCACGAACTATATGAACCGAGGAAAAAATCGTCATCGTCATCCTCCGTAGTTACTAGTTGGAACAGCGGTATGGTGGTATCGTCTTCCTCTAGGATGGCATTATCCTGGTCCTGTATGTGATCAATCCGAAACGTGCCTGGAATGGCGCCGTTGTTTGACACTTGGATGCGACGGGTGATAGTGCCTCCAACCAAGCAGGTTCCAAAGTGGATCAGTACCCGTCGAGGCCCTATTTCTTGCGCTAGATGCGCGGAGGATTTCTTCTGCGCGACAAGTTTGCCTTCATTTCCCGTTTCATTTCCTTCGGAATCATCTAACACTTCTTCTGGGGAATTATATCTGTCTCTGCCAACACAAAGGTTGACTGCCTTCGCAACTCCTGCGTCATCGCCACTCACGCTTGTTATGAGTGGCACAAATCTCTTTTTCCTGCAGCCCAGCTTAATCACAAACTCTCCTCCATACTCCACCAGAAATTTCAAGAATCCGTCTAAATCGTCGTCCATACGATGCTTCGGAGTAAATGTAAGTATGATCTCACATGTTTTGCCAGCGCTCATACGACCGCCTGGTCCAGAGGGTCCCCATTGTACAGCAAAAAACTCGCTTAAGCTCGTATCTAGGGGAAGCATCTTAATGGCATTGGTGCGACAGGATGTGTTGGTTATTGTAACGCGTTTGACATAGGAAGTAGGAGATATGGCATCGTAGTCTTCAAACACGACGGCTGCAGGCGATGCGGTGAAAGGTGGTATTCCAGGAAGAAGCTGAGCATGCTTTATTCTATCGGCGACATTTGACGTACTATGTTTTATTACGTGACGAGGTGGTGGAAGTGGGACACGTTTGAGTTTTTCTGGAGACTCTGACTGAATTACTGAATCCAGCAAACGTCTCTTTGCGTGCACTGATGTTGGCAACAACCGCTCGCTTGAAATATGTTGACGTTGCATCACTTCCAACGGTCCATTTGCTAAATGCTTCAGCCCTCTTGCTTTCCTTTGTACGGTCCAGCAGACATCAGGTGCGTTCCATCCTACTTCCTTTGCCCGCTGCTTCTGCTTCATTCCCACCATATCCCGTTCCAGTTTACGTCTCCTGGCTTCTTCTCCCTTCAGTCTCTGCAGAATATTTGAATATCGCTCATCATATTGCTTCTGCAATCTTTCCTCCTCTTTTTGCGCTCTCATATACTTCTGCTGTATCATCTTTTGTATGCTTTCTACGGTGCTCTCCATGTTGCCCCCTTCATTGTTTTCCTTCTGTACTGGGGCTCGAACGATATGTTGCCTGATTCCTATGATCTCTCTTGTTAGCTCCTTCATAGCGCGTTCTCGCTGTTCCTTCTGTCGTTGTAGCTCCTCAGCTCTTATACGCCTACTTTGGTGAATGTCGGACACGGTTTCTCGCAACCTGCTTCGCAATCGCCGTCGAGCGGCAGATATTTTCCTCTGCTGCTGCTCTTCGTTTGTCTGCAGTTCGGCTTGAATCTCAAGGTGCTGCAGATGCCGCTTTTCCTCAGCGATCTTATGTCGTGCGAGCTTCCTGTCCCGCAAGATTTGCATCCACTTGTTTAGAACGACTTTCTCAGCCGCATCCATAACATCGGATTCATGTACCTTCTCGTCCAACGACCGGAGACGGTCCTGTTCGACCAGTAAAGTAAGATAGACATGCTGTAGCTTAAGCATAGCATCTTCCAGCACAGGTAGCCGGGAGGACGCTTCGGCCAGTACCATTTGATGGTGCTTATAATCTGCTACCAGTTGCTTGTAGCGCGGGAACAGGTTGAGTACCGGGTCGCAGGGCAAAACAAACGCAGAATCGTCACTGGTCGAATGCTTGCCTTCGGAACGAGTGCCTTCTTGCGGATGGTCGACAGCCCCTTTTGCATGTAGCTGGAGATTGGTGGACGGCAGACGCTTATCCACCTGCCATGTGTGAGCCTCTTTAGCGAAGCTTGTGATAGCCTTCTCCAGCTGAGGGATCTCCAACTTTGATTTCGTGTGAATTGTCTAAGATCAGACAACATAGGAACTGTCAGACATATTGAGTGATGCTACGGATTTGCGCAGGAAAAGCTTCTGAGTACCTACTCGAAGATCAGCAATCTCTTCCTCTAATCTCCTGTACTCGGCCTCCTTTTCTAACACTGCACGATCTCTCTTTGCAATCTTTCGCCTTATGGTTGCTTTCTCCTTTATTATCCGCATCTCTTCCTTTCCTCTAAAGAGACGCAGTCCTCCATCGGTCCAGCGTCTCTGTAAAACCCATCGTTCATAAGCTATTCGCTCTTTCAATGTCATCGCGCTCAGAACATCCAGGGCCTCCGTAAGGGGGTTCTGTAAGCACCAGGCCCCTTCATGCGACTCTCCCTCGACGGAATATCCAAATCCTTCGGAAGGTACCGGTGGTGGAGCAAAGCAATATCCGGGGAAAAGCATGCTATCCATCATTTGCCTCTCATTTGCGGATATCGGTGCGCTTGCACCTCCGGATTGGGAGGACAATATGCTTTGTTTTGACGACAATGACTTACTCATGATTGAAGCCCACATGTTTGGCTGGTCCTGCCGGTTCGGTATATTTATCTGATCCATGTAAGTCTCATTACTCTTTGCGTTTGTAGGCAAGTTGCTGAAGGACTGGAAACTTCGAAGTGGTTGCGGCACTACGGTTTCGGTTGCACTTAGCAGAGAAGACGTGGATTGGGAGACAGACGGCCGTCCTATCGGTAATGTTAACTTCGCCGACGCTTTCAACAGGTCCGGTCGTATCAAGCCAGTTTGCCCAAATCGCTCATCAATAGAATTCGTTTGCAGAGCTTCCGTCTCATTCGGAGCCTGTAGGTTGTCCGCCTTGATCTCATTGCTGTTACTTCCAAAGGTGGCGGTTGTAATTGGGGCTTCAGTCAGAGCATTTGCATTGCCATTTGGCACTTCTTCCTTAGTAATACCAGAATTTTCCGTCTTGCTATCGCCTCCTGATATCGGGCTCTCCTTACTAGCTGACCAGTGCTCCCCTTTGTGGCTTTTGCGATGCTTAACGGCCGGTGATCTGCTGGCCATGACGTAGCAAACGACCAGAGTTCACTGGCGAAGCACTTGATCGTATCCTAGTCTTTTAGGATAGTGGTCGCCTGTGTAATGTTGAACACGATGTTGACGTTGTGCTGCTTAGATGCTACATCAAGGGACATAACTCCGAATTACATAAGCAAGGTCAAACTTCCCCACCCCTACTACCAGCACAATTGACGCATTCTTTTCTACATATGTTGACAACCTGGCACTAACTACACTATGTTTTAATATTGCAGATCTACACTGACTACTATAGAAAACATGCATTCACTACATAACGTCTACAACATAATCCTTTCTGGTTGCCCTCCTGATAACCCCAGCTCTCCAATTCGTGTACTCATACCAATACTGGCTACACCTTCTACATCGCAGGTCAGCAAATTATTCACGTCCATCCTCATGCGCAATATTATATCGCCCATCAAGATAGCCGTGAATAAGAGAACAGGTAAACACCACAAGATCTGTCCAATGATGACGCCTTTTAACCCACGCCCTTTGGACAAGTGACCACCCAATATCCAGATGCCATGTATCAGAGAGCCGACACAAGTCCAAGCAACGAAGAGTAACGGGAGAAGATGATACTCGATCAATAGCAAACATCGAAACGGAATTGATGCTCCAATGATGAGGCAAATCTCGCAAACCAGAAGAGCAAACAAGGCGTGTGAGAGCGATAGTTTCGCTTCCGTCAAAAGCTTCAGAATCGTCTCTTTTATCATGAGATCTAGCATTCTGGCACCTTCGACCGCACAGGATGTTATAAGGAAATGAAAGAAACACATTTTGATGTCTGGAGCACGACATACCTGAAACCACCGCAACTATGACCTGGACTGGCGGCGAGGAGATATTAATACCAGGGCGTGCCATCAAAGCCATGAGCAAAGCGTTCGCAGCGTTTACGATAGTTCTGCCCCATGGTGACTGCAGGAAGTTGGCGATGGTATCCCTGTAAGTGCAAAAAGGTGAGAAATTGCAATAAAAAAGGACCAGGTTGCATCAATATGTAACACTAAACTACCTGGACGGAACAGTTTGCATACAGCACCAGTAAACGTACGCAAGTGGTTGTATGGCTGGGTACGCTAGAACGAACGTTAACGGCTGCTGTTGTGACAATAGCTAAGAACATCATCTAAATATACCTTGAGTACGAAGCTTTATACCGTCTTTCGCTCTCAACTCTTCGAGAGGGATGCCATCCCGCGTTAATGGCTTAAAAATGCCATCCACGTACAAGAAATTGTTTGGACCCAGTCCCAAGGTCTCCAGAGATATTGCGTGTTGACTGGGCAGCTCCACCATGACGCCATTCAGCTCAATTCGCACCGGATCCTCCTCGTGATCAGGCAAATGAATAGATGCAAGCTCGATAGACTCCTGACAATCACTATAAGCACCCGTCTCAATCAAGTCCCAGGTCGCCTGCAGCTCTTCTACAAATGGAGGCTCCGTATCGAGCTCTGCGGCGGTACCGGCTACGCTTGGGGGTGGTAGCGGTGCTGGCTGCCTCGCCTGGACCGCCTCCACCGGACCATGAAAATGGTCCGGTGTGCGCTTACGTATTGGATAGGATGGACGCGATGAGCGATTCGTGTGTAGATGGGGAGCAACAGCCATGCAATAGTACACCACCCAAATTGAGGTGGCAAAGCCGAGGCAGAATATACCTGAACCAAACAAGACAAGAAACTCCATCAGAATGGATCTAGATACAACTCGGATGCACCCACTCGGGGAATATTGAGAATATAACAACTTACGTTTGCAAAGAGGCAAATATTACACTACTGGAGTATGAGGTTTAGGTTTTGGTGGTTGTTTTTAGTGGTATGAGGAGGGTAATGGAAGAAAAACGCCCCGACGACGACGACGACGACCGGCCTTTGATAACTCCCAAGTTGCGGACCACTGCACAGCCACGCGTTAAACAACGTTGACGACATGTCCATTTCGGGCCTAAGTGGGTTAGGCGACGCGCGAGGACATTGCGCTTGCTGGAGGATATTCAACCAACTTTAAATCAAGAGCGCTTTCATTTGAACGTTTACATCCTTGTAACCTTAACCCCGTTCTTGTCCAGCGGGAGCGCTTCTAGGGTAACCAGTCTTCTGCAACGGGAAGAAACGGCTGCGGTGACTTTTTCAGAACGACCGCGTAGGTGATGGTGGGTCGGTAGTGTCGCTCGAGCGCTGGTTGGCGGAAGAAGGTGGTTTGGAGGTGGATGGGTATGGGGAGCGAAGCTGTTGGTTAGCGTAAGAAGAACGCGTGGATCGGGGAGAGGGGCGCGAAGCTTTTACAAGTTGGGGTCGACGTGTAGGGATGACATGTGGTTTTGTGAGCTGGAGGCTGGGCATTTGATAGGGCGATGACCGGGCCTGGTGAGTACAAGTAGAGATTTCCATCAGTCTCGTTTCTGTGTATATGTGCACATGTTGATGGTCTACTTGATTGTGTATAATATCGTGCAACGAGTGATGAAGTCTTATAAAATCATACTAACATAAATGTCGAAAAAGTGTAACGAAAATTACATCTGGAAGCAAAGAGCAGGAAGAAGACAAAGCACGGAACCCTTCAGACAAACATACTGGGTCCCGTTAGGGCCTCATTGATGAAGCTGTCGTTGCATGATACGGCTCTAGACGAAGCATGTATCTACACCAAATTCCTGAATAAATATAAGGGCAGACATGCAAAGTTTATTATTAATCCTCGCCATCAACGTATGTACACAGTATCGAGGGGTATAATGTCGAAAAAAACCAAAGAAAAAACATCAAGCGAACAACGCGCAGTGAAGTCCTCTACTACAACATACACCAGTAGGTCAATCTTCTGAAATATTAACGGTCCTGATTGGAATTTGTGCCGGTATTAGGGACGGGTCAATAAACTCATGGGATATCTCGTACAGGGTGTCCGTGAAGAAAAAGAACGAGTGCAGCGTGATGGAGAGGTTGACCTTTGAAAGATATGCAGCGGCAAACTTTACGATGCCAATACTTTGGCAGATCCCAAGAGCCCACTCCACCAAGCACATGATGATGGAACATATAATGCAGCGCATGTAGATCGTGCCTATAAATCGCTTCTTGGACTTGTCCCCGTCTAATGCGGACTTGGTAGCGATGACTTTGTGCAAGATGATAAAGTCGGTGGTGTTGGATAAAATCAGCGTCACGAACGAGAGGGTTAAGAGGGTAATTCTCAACTCTTTCGCAAACGATGGCGTGTCAATGATCGGCGTTGTCCACAGGTCCATGTCTGGGACGTCGCGGAAGAAGAAATAAAATTCCAAGACGCAGAGTACAAGCCATCCGCAACCAGCAACGTAGTAGACGGCAACGGGCATGTTCGGCAGCACACTTCTTAGGCGTCTCACCGTGATCAAGTTCAGAAATGTTCGATGGGTCAAGTCTCGTAACGGGGTTGAAAACATCATTATGTTGTATACCAAGATAGAACCCCCTGCCACAGCCCAATTGATGTTGAACCAACTGATAGAAGCATCCATGATCAACCCCAAGTACGCAACGAGCCACAGCACCCGGATCGTCCCTTTCAGCTTGAGTGCCGGCAAGGAGATGAACATGTACAGACAGTCCATAAGGACTGCACCGACGCAAAAGCTCGCGGCAAGACGCTCGAGGATAAGAACGGTCGCGGGATTAAGCATATGGTCCTACAGAAAGTAGCAACCGGCGACAAGCTTGTCTGGGAGACAAGAGTAGCTGACCAAGTCGTTATATATTCAGCACATCTTCTAACCCAATGGGCCCTTGTCCCGAGAACTGGGCTCCTACAGCCGTTTGCGTGCTTAACAGATTGGCGATGGTTTATTATTAGCATCTTTTTCCAACATTTGAATTAACCAGTATATAAGCCAATGTAGGAATGCTTGTTTGCCATTGCACAAACGGACCAGTCCGGAGCCACGCCCCTCCGTGAACAAGGGATGGATCCAAGGGCTCAACATTTCAGCATGTTACCACATTTAGTTCCAAAATAAGGGTCAGATTAGGGATAATATGCATACCCGTGTTCGACAGAAGGATTTGCTTGCGCATCTGACCATGGTGAACAAAAGTGGAACTTCCGTCAATGAACCCGCGACGCCCAGAAAGGTGACGTTGGAGCGGGGCTTGTGTGCACGGTATGATTGTCGCTGCTTGCTGTTTTAGTCGCTGCTGGTAGGATGACGTTGCTGGATGCTCGGGACGTTTGGTACATAATAAAAGTGTGGGTTTGGGAATGCTGGAAAATGTATAACAAACAAAGCAAACATTATTTACATTAATACTTGCCGGGATATCTCCTGCCTCTGATCGTTTACGGATATTTATTCAGCTACCCAACTTTTGCAACCGGCGACAACCTCCATATGCATAGACAAACGTATTAATGGCGCGGCATGAATTGCAGCCCAACGTCATTGGATCATTCGGTCGCTGTGCACCCATATGCCGTAACAATAAAGCCTCTTTTTCAGGAACGATCCAGAAAGCCGTATTCTGGTACAAAGGAAGCGACACGACAGCTTGTTGATTAGCAATGGTCAAGACGCAGATTTCCCCAAGTGTCCCAGCCCATAAACTTTTGAGTTGCCTCAAAATACCGCTGCTTTCCTCCAACATAATTGCACCCACTTTTTCACACAAGCCCTGCATTGGTCCCGGGGCTTTTGCATCTGGATTGAAGCTTCGATGCCCTGTACTGGCCAATCTTGACCAGAATTGGCTTGCAATCCACATTATTGGTGAGATACACTGTAATGAGCGCAAATTGCAGAACGAGACGCTGAGACGCCAGGTGTTCGCTGCTCTCTTTTCTGGACAGAATAAGGCATCTTTGGTTGGGACACAGTCTACAATTGCACACCCCAGAATCCATTTTATGATCATTGTCATTTAAGTGGCAACATCCAATTGAGGCAAAATCTTGGACACTGAGCCTTCAATTTGTAGCATGCCGGGCTGGGACATTGGATGCATGTTGACCACAGCAACCAACTATCGGTGGCAAATCAACAGCAATTGTCTCACAATGATGTTGCAACACTTTAAGAACAATGGTAACTAACTCAAATGCTGGATCGCACTGCTTGCCCATCATTGCTGCTGCTCTTCCTGAGCCCTTTTGAGCAAGTAGAGACATCACTGCAGCAGAGAGCAAATCATTGGGAGCAACCTTATTTTCCATAGTCACCTACCAAATATCTCATGCACAAATAAATGAACTGACAATGTGCTTTGCTCAACTCTGAAAGCACATGAATTGGACTGCCCAATCCACAAAGACATCAAAATTATGAATGGTTGCTCACACCACCACTTGATGGTGCTGCCTTTGAGGAAGAGTTTGGATAGCTCTCTCACAGATGATCCTTTTTACAGGGACCTGCTGCCAGGGGTTTGGGAAAACTTCACCCTCCTGCAGCTGTGTACCACTTGATTACACTTTTTTTTATGCTTTAAAACTCTGCAAACCTCTCTGCTGTCAAGTGATTGGATCACTCTCTTGGAAAAAGAGCTAGGTGCAGTCTTGCTTCTACAGCAGATAGATTGTACAGTGCCATCCTTATCCAGCCAAACTGGTACAGCTGAGAGGCCATTCACCTCTGCTTCATAATCCATTCCTCAGCAGAAGGCAAGGGCCATTTGCCAGCTAATTTACAGGAATCACAGCTTCTAACTTGCCATTGGACTATCACAAAGACATTTTCTGATTTCATGCATTTTTGTGGATACACAGGATAGCAAGGAAGAGAAGGCAATGTATGGCACAATGATACAGAGGTACCTACCACCATCAACCAGTCAATAATCCCCAAGATGTAGGTTGGAATGGATTGATTCAATTGAATGTGAATATCTTTACAGTCATATTAGCTTCACCATGAAAGGGTGCACATTGCTTAATGGTGTAGTACAAGTGACTTTCATATAAATGTTAGTAAGCCTCATTGGCACAGTCATCCTGTTTGAAAGACCACCACACAACTGCATCTGTGGCCATGAATGGCACTGGACTTTGATGACAGTGTAACGGATTTTTTGTTGGTAGACTACGGTAAAGACAACTTGGGTCTCCTAGCAGGTTGTGTGGGTGTCTGTACTAGGAATCGTAGTCTCCAAATCCTTTCTTTGGGCATCGGTAGTGACTTGAGGGCGAGAGGCAAGGAGAGTTGGTTAGTTGTGAACCGAGCAGGATTTAGAGGCTTCAGTGCAGGTGATCAGGCCATTGAAGTGCTCTGTTAGGTTCCTGTTAACCTAGGATTGGGGTTGAGAAGCTAGTTGTGGGGATTTTTTGTCACTACGGCTTCTGGCCGCCGACTTATTTTATTGAATTCCTCTTTTTATACAAGAATATGCTACGGTAACGTCTACACTAGTTTCTGTAGCCTTCATTAGGGTGGCGGCATCCGATCTTCCCATCTCAGACCATCACCATGATCGATCATGGCTGCATAACATATCCTTCACGCTGCGCTGGTGTAGCCCAGAACCGAGCTTGATCTTAGGGGTTTCGAAGCTTAGGTTACAATTGCGGAAACCTCAATCATGGTCACCTGATGCCTTTGAGCAAACCGGTTTATCAGAGTCATTTGCTACATCCCCCCTTCGAAAAAGAAGGTTTGGCAACTCGTCTGTGAGTGTCTGAACCTCGCTTCTACCATGACGCAACTGGATAGTCGTCGTCAGCTTCAAGGCTGTCTTCATTGATCATCCAGATTATGGTAGCGTGCCCCATGACGTTCGTGCAGAACCAAATTTGGTCAGTGGCTTCTGGAGCCAGGGTTCCAGGTGTCCTGGAACCGTTGGCTTGGGTTATGTAGAGGGCTGTGAACATCTCTGCGGCCCTTTTCAAGTTAACCGCTCGAAAGTGGTAATAGGCGTGCTCCCGATGTTTGGGACGGAGCTGCTCTTCTGTGGTTTCAGCTGCATTGGCTAGCTTTAACAACACTGCTCTCGCGGCTTCAATGGCTATGTCCGCGAAATCGTGGGCCTCGCGATCAGGCCAGAGGGTGAAGCAGGCCGTTTTGGGGTTTCCGGCCGCATGTTGAGGGACCCCAGCGTCAAGCCAGGCAGCGCAGGGTACGTCCCGTAATCTCTTGCCTATCTTTTTTGCATCGGCAACGATACTGACAGCAGCTTGACCGCCGTCGGAAGCCCTACTGTAGGGCTCCGCGATATGCATCATGAGGGGCTGGCTCGTGGCGTAAGGCTTCAAAGCCCCGTCAACCACCCAATCTTCACCACGATAGTGTTCAAGGGTTTTGTTTGGGTCTTCATACAACTCACGAATCCAAACTTCGACCCAGGTGGCCATGGCTGCTCCGAGCTGCTCGATAGAGTTCTCGGCAGCGAAGGCGTCGCTTACTTCTGACCAGGGATAGCCTTCCTCAAGGGTAGAGAGGATGCTGACTCCTTGTTGTCCTCGGATATCGGTGGTCATGGTGTTGGAAATGAAAGCTTTTGTTTCGGTGTCGATAGAAAGGGTTTGCGAAGCAGAGTGATTGTGTAAGGGAAGTAGTTCGTTGGTAGTTGAAGATGAAAAAAGAGGGGGGGCAAGCAGGGGCGCCCTTTTAAGGTCGTCACCAGCTGATTTTGACAGCTCGGACATGCATAAGCGTGATCGGGAGGCTTGGTGTGGCGTTCTTGACTGGTAAGGTAAGCCACGCGAAACTGGTTTTCTTTCTGGTGAGAGGGCATGATTATCACGTGAGCTATCGTCCGGATAAACCGCGAAGCATTGGTGGTCAGAAGCGTAAGCCGTATCTTCCGGGGCATTGCCTGCAAGGCTGACTACCAAAGAGTCCTCTACTAGCACGCTAGTGGGGGCTCTGGATCTCCAGTACTCTTCTAAGGCTTTGGAAGCCTCTGTTAGGGCTTCCTCTGGTTCCCAGGTATCCTCATGGGGTGGGTATCCGGACCAACGTATTCGAAATTGACATTTTCCGCGCCTGGTTTGATGGTCTACTATCGCTTCCACTTCAAACTTGCCCTCTGAAGCGTCGGAATCCTCTGCTTGTGCTTCCGCGACCTTTTCCTCAGTTTTGGCATCGACAGGCTTCTGGTATGGACGTAATTTCGATATGTGAAACCATGGATGAAGTCATCTCATCTTGTCTGGCAGTTTTAACTCGTAGTTGTCGCGGAGAGGGTTACAGTCGGTCACCGTGACTGGTCCCAGCCATTTCGGAGCGATCTTGGACTCATACCCTGCTAGGTTTTTTGTGCTCAGAAGCACCTTATCTCCTCTCCGGAACTCCAAATGTCATCGCAATAAATCATAATATCTTTTCTGCGAATCCTGGGCTTTGATCATCAGATCTCAGATAAGGATGTTTAGGTCGCCGAGGTGTTTACAGAGCTCTTCCGCATCTGCATTTCTGGTTTCTGACGGCCTTTCGATGATATCCGCCAGTGGATTGTGGGGCTCATAGCCTAGGTCCATTCTGAATCGCATCATTTTTGTCACCTCGTGTACCGTATCGTTGATAATGAATTCCGCAACCAGAAGAAAGGTGTCCCAGTCGTCTAATTGGGTGTTGACCATTGTGGTAAGGACCTGCAAGACCGTTGCGTTGTCTCTCTCTGATTGTCCATCACCTTGAGGGTGGTAGGCTGTGGTGAGCTCTTGATTAATCTTTAGGTTTTTGCAGACCTCCTGCCA